TAAAAAAGAAACTGATTAAAACACTAAAAATATGTCTACAATAGATTTATCCCTTTTTTGTCTTCTTTTTTCCCAATCAAAATAAATGAATATACAAGGTTTTGCTTTTAAATTTAGAGAAAAAAAACACAACATGAAACTGATAACGTCTTTTACGGCTTTGTCTATCCTATCCGTTTTATCGAATATGGTTGTTTTTCTCGTGTGTTTTTTCGTTGCTCACATTCTCATTTTTCTTTTTTCTTCAGTCAAATTTATAACATATTGAATTTGAATTCAGAAATCTATGCGTTCATGTCTTCCTCTCCTCCTTCTCCTTCTTCGTCTTCTTCTTCTTCTTCTTCTTATTATTATTATTATTATTATTATTATTATTATTATTATTATTATCGGCAGTGTTACATCACTCACCCTCACATACACACCTATACACATAAATACACAAAGGGGATCGGTTAAAAATCAACATACATTGTTTAATGTGTTGTAAGCATCGAAAGGAAATGGGAGAGTTTTAATGAATTCTATTAAATTATTTAGTACATTGATGAACACTAATAAAATAGATAGTCAATTACATAATGAAATAAATGATATACAAATCTAAAGGAAAAAACTATGAATTGATGATTTAGCACAAAATTATCCAAGATTATTAGTTAGTAATTGACTTTCCTATTATTGATAAAGATTGAACCTCACCATTCATAAATTCTTAGTGTAATACTTCTAGCTAACTTATTATCATTCAGTTTAGTTAGAAATGTAGACCATTTAGATTTCAACTAAATGGTCTAAAGGTAACATGATTTGATCTTGTTAGATTCAATATGTGATGGATGCGATAAACGCATAGTGTTAAGGAGTTTCAAATAAAATTGAAGTAACTGTCTGGGTTTTTTTTCTTAGCTAGTTTCTCGGATTATATCAATTTGTTACGTGAACAAACTTAAATCTAAACTAAACTATGCAAGCCCATCTCTAACCAACAAAAAAATGAATTGTTCAAGATGGAAATAAACGAGTCTATACCTTTTTAAGTAGTTCTAGATTATGTCATACACTGTTTGTAAACTAGTCATTTTTAACATATTGGTAATTTCACTTATGAAACTCATATTGTCGAATATTACTCGAATTGATTGTCAGTGATTTCATGTAACTTCTAATAACTGCAACCTAATTACATATAAAAACCAAATGTTCTTATCCTAAATGACTTAACGATTAGTCACGATCTATTCAGTTCATGACATTTTTACTCTAAAATATTAAAAGATCGAATTGAATTTGATTTTCACTAGAACGAACTTAACATAGATGATATTGTTCTTTACTTATTGATCAGTTAATTGTCAACGTATCTCAGTCATACAGGAGTTCACTTGTGGTACCAATAGCTGTGTAACGGTGAATCTGGTATCACTGAATCGAACCCGCCAAGGATCATCAAGTTCCCAAAGATTACAGGTATACCTGGCTGAAGAGTTTCAAATAACACGAAAAAACAGATCAAGCAGGGACCCCTGTTGACTACCTACAATCAACACCTGATACACTAAAAGATTAAATCACCATTGTGAATAAAATGTCTACTTTCTGAAAATTTTAAGTGTAATACCATGTTATTCGGTTTTGCAGTCTGAAAACCTATCATTATGACCACGCTACACTGGCAAACGAATCATGCTATTTTTCCGTAATGATTTGTTTGTGATGTATGATTCATAAAATGTTTTTAATCTATGTTGTTCATTATCAAGTTATCTAGTTTCATATGAATTCTCATACAAACACTTGCTTTCTTATCAATTACTTTAGGAAAATAGATCAAGGACTGTGGACAGTTTATCATTTACATGCACAGTGACAGATGGTAGATGGCTAGGGGTAGACGTAAATAACCCCTGGATTGAGGCTTAATACTAGTTGTCATTTATCAGGAAGGAAGGGACTGACGCTCTATGAGATATGAACTTGTATCAGCCAGTCTCTTAGTCTGATACGTTAGCAATGAGTTATTCAGGCTTTGATTGACCTCTTGTAGTACTAAGATGCTCACAATACATTGATCACTGGTTAATGCTCAATGTCGGACTGAAACTGGGTGATCCATGTTTGAATCTCACGAATAGGACCAATTCCGTCAAAATTGCAAGTATACATTATTGATAAGTGCCAACTAGCGTGAAATCTAAGTGCAGGGTTTCTTTCCGACTAGTTTCAACCTCTTTAAATCAAAATTAGCTTCTGCGGTGCCAAGCCATTTAGAATAGTAGTCACATTTCAACCTAGTCGACAGAATTCGATAAAAACTAAAAGAACTAAATGTCTCAGTAATCAATCGATTGTACACACTAATTAAGTTATTAAACGGTATTAATGATTCAATCAAAACTTCAGGATCACTTTAATTTCTTTATAACTAAGTATATATCATGGTTTTATTTTTTCAAATGATGTATATTAGCTGTCTACTACGTTCACATGCTTTTATAAAAGGTTTACTACCTATCTTAAAGTAAACTACTGCACAATTCAAGCGGAGCTAACACAGTTGATATGTTGTCCCATTAGTGTATGTCTTTTGGAAAAATAACTGAGAAGTGATATTATAGGAATTCTTGTATCGAATTTCCGTATAATGGATGTATGGTATTAAGAATAGATATTTCCTCAATTATTACACATTTTGCGCTGAGAATTCTTGGTTGTAATCTCAAACATATGCTTTTGAATAAATCGACTCACTTCAGCCACCTCATGTTCATAAAAGCTTAATCATCAGTCATAGTATAATATTTTTTTCGGGTGAAGAATTCTGGAAATAAGAAGTCTAACTTCTCTCGGATAAGTTAATCAGATACAAAAGTATGGAACTAATTGTTCGATCAGTCATAAATTAATTTCCCTGTCTAAATTTTACTTAAAGGGATAGAAAAATTATTTACAATATAAATGAAATAAAAATAAAACAATAGAAATATGCTTATGTATCTATCACACAATCCTAATCCATACATTCATCTTCAACACGATTGGATGATCTATTTTCGTCAGTCAAGGTCATTGGAGATAGATTCGATCTAGCATTCCTGAAATAACTTGTCTATTTATTGAATAGAATAAAGTCAGTAACGGATGTTAAAACAAAATCTAACTGCTATTATCATTATTACCCATGCTTATTTTATGAGGAAAAGGAGAGACCAAGTAAAGTTTACATAAACAGACAGAATCACTCTTTGTAATCTATACACACATAAATATAAAAGAGAAATCTGTATAGAGATACACATTAAGTGATGCAAATGTCATTTGACTTGACTTAGACAATATTTGCATATTTTATTCAGGTCTTTATACTTTAATCGCAAAAGTAAATTCGAATTTCTTATTATATTTGTTCATGTGTACACTGAGCAATATATATATATATATATATATATATATATATATATATATATATATATATATATATATATATATAATAAATAGAATTGCGTTCCTAAAGCAAAACCGGAAAAGTATTAAACTATTGAGCCATATTGACACAGTTTGGTAGATTCGTCTCTTATCAAATGACTCTGGGCTGAAAAAATTTGAGGCATTGATTTGTAGGCCTTTATGCGAATTTCGCAAAAATAATTGTAGTTCACTGGATTATTGATAAAGATAAGTATCCACAGCCATATCCTGAATAAAATACATCCTGTGAATGAAAAGACATTTCATATGTTTACTCGTTTAAAATGGTGTTGGTTGCTTTGTTCAGAGGAAGCAATGACGACTGGAACAGTTCTCGTTTGTTGTGTTCAAAAAAATAACTAGTTTCCCCTATGGTACAGCTGAAATTCCTTTTTTGAAGTGCCATTTTTATAGTTACCGTGAAATTGATTAACGAGTTACAGAATGCCTTGTAATCTCTCGTTATTTCACTGTATATATACAATTCAATAGAAAATATAATTATCATGGGTATTTGTGGGAATTGTAAAATTTCCATAGTTTACATCATGAACTGATCTTAACTAGACCATCATTGAAAATCTGGAACCACTGTACGACCGTTTCATGCTAGTATGAAACTCCTCAGTAGTGCCTATTCACAAACTTGCGTCTGAGAATCGAACTAAGGTCTTTTGATCTCAAGCGCGAATGCTTAACATGTAGATCGCTGAACAAGGATTCAAAAGTGCCAATATCTAAATTCAATCAACTCAGATAATGTCTAACCCTCATCAACTAGGTGTAGTGAATAACTGTCTCGCACTCTACATGGTTGAATTCCACTTTTCATAACTTCTCACTGGAACTCCAAGAATTGTATGTTAAAACTAGCTACTAGTGAGCTCATGATTGTTGTTGGTAAAGGGGATTTGTGGCGATTGTAGATTTTCCACAGTTTAAATTATGAACCTATGCTTATTCGTTAAATAATGGTCAATAATAATCTGTTTTTACATTACTGACCGAATTTAGTTAAACAGTCTTTCAAAGCAGGGAAACAGTAGACAGTTGTTTTATTCTAATATGAAACTCTCAATATTTTGCATCTGCAAGCCCACTTAAAAATTAAACTTATCACATTCAGGCTTCGAAGAGAATGTTTAACCTCCGAATTCTTAAATTAATATCACTCAATTTACATTCTTAACTTTACCACATTCATTAATTCATTTTGTATTATTTGTTTGAATCTTCCCATTGATGCTTAGCACTGTAATTGATTAGTCTGTTATTGGCATATGTGCATACTGTGCGGATTACCTCGATATTACTTTAAATCACAAGCGCTATAAGCAAAGATGAATAGTGGCTAGCAGTTGAATTCAGGACGTGCGTTTCATCCTATTTGGGACTCGTCAGCTAGATGTACCTGCATCTCAGAGTTGATGTTCACTCCTGGACTCGTCTTGAATTTCACTGCTAGTCACCATCCATTTTGTTTCTCCTATTCATATTTCACCTTGCTATCCTCTTGTTTCACTTACTTACAGGGCCAAAGTGTTGAAGAAGCGTTAAATGGACCAATGCGTAATCATTTACGCTTTTTAGTGATAAAAGATTTACATTTATTACAACCATGGTATCATCATACTATAAGACGATATGAAGCTGAATCACGTTTGGCTAGTGAAGGAAATCAAGACGGTGCATTTTTGTAAGCATATGATTTAATTGGGATTTATGTTGTGTTGTTGTTTTGTAAAATACACTATTCAACTTTTTCGTAAGAAATTTTCATTATTATTATTAATAATAATTATTATTACTGGGAACTGATTCTTGTATTTAAATCACTTATCAAACATATAACGTTTATTGTTTAACATTAAAGTCACCATCCATGTTAGCAAATAAATGAAAGATTTCAACTTCTTAGAAAAGTTAGAAGGAAAGAAAATACTTTTATCATGGTGATTGAATAGTTTCCAGTTTAGATTTGATAAGTCGTTAATACAAAGAGTACGACTCAAATAACAATAGTCCCCAGTAAACTAACTTTTTGAAATTTTTGTTTGAATTGTCCAGTTATCTGTTCTACTTAGAATTCTTATGATACTTCCGAGATCGCGATTTATACTTGTCGGATTGAATAATCAAGAGTTATAAATTAAAGTATTCGAAAGAAATTGGATAGGAAAATTCAGTGATGACAACATTTTTATAGTTGTGTTGGCTATAAGCTGTCCAGTCTATTATTCGTTTCACGACATCATTTAATTAGACTTAAAACCAGTAGGAAATGAACAGTTGTTTCGTCTTAGTAAGGCACATCATAATAGTACGTCTCCACGACCTCATCAAAGATAGAGTTCAAGGTTTTCATGTTTCAAGGTGAGCATTTAATCTTCTGAATACTGAGCCAATATCTAATGGTTTAAATTTCTAACTGTAATCAGCTTGAGACAGTGTACGACTATCATTCATTATTATTCAGCTCTTTGGTTTGATTCTCAATGGAGTTATAGATGCACACTACTGAGAAGTTCCATACTAGGACGAAACAGTTGTTCATTGCTTCCTGGCTTTCGGTGGTCCTCTAACTAGAATCATTTCACGATTAAGGCTAATAAATAAATCTTTTTGACTTGAATTGACAAATGCAATAATAGTCAATGCTAAGGGATCAACTAATTTCAAACATCTCAGTCCAACAGGAGGTCAATCTTTCTCTGCTCAACTAACTCAGTAGTAACATCTCAGACATCGAAGCTTCTTTACAATGGTTCCAGCCCTATAGATAACATTAATTTGCTCAAAATGTTTGGTGCACCTTGGTGACAAATGACTAACTCCAACTACCTTACATTAAAATACGTTTTGTGCTATGTATTTAATTACTGAGTTCTGATACATTATTTAGTGTTATTACGGAAGCTGAGGCTTAAATAATGTTTCATAAGTATTCAATAAACGGTTGTCAATGAGAAAAAAAGCACAACTCACTACTTAGGAAGACAAGACTTCCGTTACAAAATTTCGAATAAAGTATAAACTGAACGACTCATGAAAGGAATTAGTCGTTGTTGTTGTTGTTGGTCTTACTGTTATGTTTCGATATTTTGTCATAAAATGCTACTTGCCGTCACTAAAGATTCCTGAATAAAGAATCAAACAGATGATCAGTGTTTCAAAGTTTTCAGTAATTCTTCAATTCATATCAACTATTGATAATAGAAACTAGATAAATCACTCCATGAAAACAGCAAACGAATCAATCAATATTTTGGAAAGCAAAAGATTTTGCTGAATGAAAATCTTTGATTTCCGATTTTCCACCGGACCACACTACAGAGAACCAAATAGATCATATTTGCATCAACAAAAAATTCCGAAGGACAATGGAAGATGTGAGAACCAGGAGAGGTGCTGACGTAGCTTCAGATCACCACCTAGTTGTAGCCAATTTAAAACTGAAGCTAAAAAGAACTGGACAAGTGACAAACAGCACTACAAAGTTCAATACAGCCTTCCTTCGAGATACTGACAAACTCAATGAATTCAAGATAGCTCTCAACAACAGGTTCAAGCCTTACAAGATCTACTGAAGAAGAAGAAACTACTATGGAGGACAACTGGAAAGGCATCAAGGAAGCATTAACTTCAACGTGTCAAGAGGTTCTGGGCCTAAAGAAACACCATCATAAGGAATGGATCTCTATAGAAACACTGGACAAGATCAAAGAAAGGAAGAACAAGAAGGCAGCAATTAACAACAGCCGAACACAGCAGAGAAAGTCAAGCACAAGCTGAATACATAGAAGCAAACAAACAAGTGAAGAGGAGCATTAGAGCCGACAAGAAGAAATACGTGGAAGAACTAGCAACGACGGCAGAAAAAGCTGCTAGAGAAGGAAATATGAAACAGCTTACGATACAACGAAGAAACTAGCAGGGAAATACAGTAAACCAGAGAGGCCGGTCAAAGACAAAGAAGGCAAGCCAATCACCGAAATTCAACACAGCGTAACAGATGGGTGAATACTTCGAGGAACTCCTGAATAGGCCGGCTCCAATGAATCCACCGGACATCGAAGCAGCACACATAGATCTTCCTATAGATGTCAACCCACCAACGACGGAAGAAATTAGAATGGCCGTCAGACAAATCAAGAACGGGAAAGCAGCAGGACCCGACAACATACCAGCTGAAGCACTGAAATCAGACATCGAAGCAACCACAAGCATGCTTACCTTCTATTCAAAAAGATTTGGGAGGAGGAACAAGTGCCGATGGACTGGAAAGAAGGACACCTCGTCAAGATTCCAAAGAAAGGAGATCTGAGCAAATGTGAAAACTACAGAGGCATTACACTACTGTCAATACCAGGGAAAGTCTTCAACAGAGTGTTGCTGAACCGGATGAAGGATGCAGTAGACGCCCAACTTCGAGATCAACAAGCTGGATTCCGTAAGGATCGGTCGTGCACAGACCAAATTGCAACACTACGGATCATCGTCGAACAATCAGTTGAGTGGAACTCATCACTATACATCAACTTCATTGATTATGAAAAGGCATTCGACAGTGTAGATAGGAGGACATTATGGAAACTTCTTCGACACTACGGAGTTCCTGAGAAGATTGTCAACATTATCCGGAACTCATACGACGGACTACAGTGCAAAGTAGTGCATGGAGGACAGCTGACAGATGCATTCCAAGTAAGGACTGGAGTCAGACAAGGCTGTTTACTCTCTCCCTTCCTCTTTCTTCTGGTGGTCGACTGGATTATGAAGACCTCACATCTGAAGGAAAACACGGAATACAATGGACAGCTCAGAATCAATTAGACGATTTGGACTTCGCAGACGACCTAGCCCTCCTATCACGTACACACGAACAGATGCAGATGAAGACAGCCAGTGTAGCAGCAGTCTCTGCATCAGTAGGCCTCAGCATACACAAAGGGAAAACCAAGGTCCTCAAATTCAAGCGGAGAACAGCAATCCAATCACTCTTGATGGCGAAACTCTGGAAGATGTAGAGTCCTTCACATACCTAGGAAGCATCATCGATGAACAAGGAGGTTCAGATGCAGACGTAAAGGCGAGGATCGGCAAAGCAAGGGTCGCATTCCTACAATTGAAGAACATATGGAACTCAAAACAACTTTCAACCAATATCAAAGTGAGAATCTTCAATACGAACGTCAAGGCAGTTCTACTGTATGGAGCTGAAACTTGGAGAACTACAACAACCACAATCAAGAAAGTACAAGTATTTATAAATAGCTGTCTACGCAAGATACTCAACATCCATTGGCCGGATACCATCAGCAATAGCCTTCTGTGGGAGAGAACAAACCAACTTCCAGCTGAAGAAGAAATTAGGAAAAGACGATGGAAATGGATAGGACATACATTACGCAAATCGTCAAACTGCATCACGAGGCAAGCCCTAACTTGGAATCCTGAAGGGAAGCGAAAAAGAGGAAGGCCAAAGAACACATTGCGTCGGATAATAGAAGCAGATATGAAAAGGATGAATTACAACTGGACGGAGCTGGAAAGGATTGCCCAGGACAGGGTTGGATGGAGAATGCTGGTGAGTGGCCTATGCTCCTTCACGAGGAGTAACAGGCGTAAGTAAGTAAGTAATTTTTTGAAAGGGAACTATCGTAAAATGATTCAAGTTTTTATCAATCAGATTGCTGTTTGTCTTAAAACTTAGATCGGTCAAAATTTCCTGTGAATTTTTCTTAGCTATCTAATATCAAAGAAACATGCATCACGGTGTCATGTCATTTAAACAACATAAGTTGTATATTGTATCTTGATCGATAAAAGTTGGGAGAAACAGAATGTTAGCTACTTACTAGTTGATCAATTATTAACTTTTATGGAGCTTTCAATGGAATTTCGATTAAAAAAATTCAAAAAACGAACACGCACAAGGATGAATAGCTTTATGCAAAATACCAAGCTTTGTAACACTGGAGAGATTAAAATAAAACGATTTTTTTGGAAACATTGAAATGAACATGAAAAATAGAGATGGATAAATCACGTGAATGTTACACCAATTTTGGTGGAATTTTGTTCTCTGAGTTGGATGGTTTGATCGTAGAGCTTTAGCAACAATGATAGGTTATAGGTTAACAGTAGCCAATCAAGATCGAGGTCTACTAAAAAAGCTAGGAGTCATATATGAAGAAATTCGGATACTTCACTTGTACTTTGAGTTTGTGTCGATGCTGTCGTTCAGAAAGCACCACGACCAAACCATTCAGCTCAGAGAACGAAACTTCACCAAAATCATCCACCTTAGCTACAAATCTTCACCATATTATACCGTATAATTCAATTATACTAAATAGATTTTCAAGGAATTCGGTCACTTCAGTGAAAAACAACACTATCAAAATACTCGTGATAGTCTAGCAACACTTTTATCAATAATTTGTACTCTTTCATGTTAATTATGGATAGACAAACATTATTTCAATCTCTATTGAAATTCATCTTGTGAATTTTCATTGTTTTATGCTAATGTGATGTAATTTTCACGAACCCATATGTCTATACCAGGATCTACGTTAATCAAAATTGACTAATTGACTGAATGATAGATAAATAGAACTAACTTATAGTTTTATACAGACTCATTACATAATGAATTCCGGTTCCGTTGAATTATCTCTCTCTTTTATTTGTTGCTTTTAAGTAATCAGTTAAACCTGGTAGGTAGGTGGATTATATACATAATAAGAATAAAAGTACATTTTATAAGACAAATTCAACGGAGATAAACCATTTAATAAAATTAAAGATGTATATATTAACTGTATAAATTTAATTAATATAATAGTAATCGTATCATTGTTTTTGTATATCCTTTTTGTTGTATTCAAATATAACCCCATTAACAAATCAACACCAATAACAATCATGATTATAATAATATAACATATAGAGTTCGTTATCGTAAAGAAGATAGAACATATGTATTAAGTTTAACAAGTCAAAATGAACCGAAACATTATCGTATTGAAGAATATTTAAGTAGATGGTCTATAGAAGGTGGACAATATTTTGAAACTATCATGGAAGTAAGTGTTCTTATTTACATTTATATAATATTATATATTTATTTGTTTGTTTGCTAGTTTTGCACTGAATCATACTTCCAACGAGAATCAAATGGGTTTTTTGGTTTGATCTCATGTGTGTTTGTGTTGTTTAGCTTCAAAATAACGTGGAATGACTGTTCACGGTGTTATCTGATTTCTAACGTCTTTCAGAGATAATATAAATATTTCACAGAGTTAGTTCATACATGTAAAAAGACTAGAATGGGTAAAAGGATTGATTATTAGAGTTTAGATTGTTCCAATGGTTCTATGAAATGAAATATTTGTGATGAACATCAGTTTTATGTACAGTACTCATGATCTCAACTATTGAAATGTCTACAATCTCCACAAAACCCCTTCTGATACATATATTCTTTATTGAAGAGTTTTTAGCCTTTTGTGATCAGTCAGTAAAGTATTTACAGTGTATATATAGAAGCTAATACAGTCTTCCCGAAGAAAATTTGTAATTAAATTTGTTGAAATAACACAATGTTTATTGTTTAGAGTCATTTATCCTGATATTTTAGACACATCAATTGTATAATTTTATATGATTAGTATAACTTTTTTAAATAAAGTTACTAAGGCAAACAAAAAACTCGATAGCTGAGATTCAACTTATCAGAACTGATGAAATGTTTACACTCATTACAGGCTTTCTTTCGACCAAATCAGTGACATTCATTATGTAAATCTTCTACTTATACAATTCAGTTAATTAACCCTAAAATTGGCTTCTTAGTAATTATTCATTTGAATCATTGTTGGGTAGTTCTATAAGAGTATTGGTAAGGGTATGTATTTTTCTGTTGTGAATATTATCTCAACCGATAACGCATTAGGATTCTAGCTGAAAGGTACTGAGTTCCATAGACTTTTCAAGAAAAATTTAGATTCTAATGCTAGTCTTATTCCATTTATTCAATAAGATAATCAATATTTTCATGTGGATCCTTTTAAAGTTAAAACAGTGACTTTTCTAACATTATTGTCCATAACCAGAAATAATGGGTCTGTAAATTATTTGTTATGATGATTGACATAAAAATACACACTTTAGATAACAGTTTATATATATATATATATATATATATATATATATATATAGGAGATTTAGAAAGATTGTAGAATTCTCAAAGTTTAAATCAAGAACTGATCTTAGCGAGGCCACTATTGAATACCGGGAAGCATTAGGGTTTGAGACTCGACGCATGGAAAAAAAGATCTTTTTTCAGATCCTCCTTGAAGTAGTGGATACTAGGACGAATCAGCTGCTCAGTGCCTTTTTTTTATGATTTATCTACTCAAAATCAGTTCATGATTATATATATGCATGTATCAGAAAACAATATCAATAACCAGCCAAATAATTTAAATATTTCTAATAGCATGATATAATACTTCTACAAATTTAGCGAAAAGTATATTTATTTCTCACTGTCTCAGCTTTCATGTAATTTATTTCCCCTTCTATTTAGCTAATTGATCATTATCATTTTCGTCAAGATGGATTATTATGTAAATTACAAAAACCAATACCAGTATCGAATTTCACACGTTCATTTTCAGGTAAGTGGAATGAATTATAGAAAGTTACATGATATCAATTTTTTTTAACAAATTTATATTAACAATAATGTTATTATTGTATTGCCAAATTTGAAAATTAATGTTAACCTATTTATGGATACAATTTTACTAGTTACTAGTTTGTCAGTAATCTATAACAAGACAAATATAGATTCAGATCTTTTTACAATTGATTGATCACTCGGTAATGACAAATGTCATGTCTTTCATAGTACAATTGAAAATACATCTCAGTTCTATAAGAAGTTAATCACGATCAGGATAGTTTGGCAATAATGTCTCTGACTATGAAGTTGGGTAAATGGGATTAAATCCGACATGAAGCATTATTTCCCTTATAATTTACAGGTACAACTTGCTGACCTGTGCCAAATAATATGAAATCTAGGTCGAGGATATCTTGTTGACTTCTTCTATTCATCCCTTACATTCAGATTTGTGTTTAACAGATTTTCTACTTTAAGTAAGCCTAAAATAAAATGATATTGTCTTATATTCCATTAAATGTAATAATTGTTATGGTAAAGCCAAATGAGGAAAAAATTGTAATTTTTTCAGGTATCGTTTAACTTTCTGAATAAAGTTTAAAATCTGTTTCATAAAACTGGTTTACGATTTTATTCGTCACTAAAAATCTTACCACTCATTCGTGTACAGAAACTAACAGACGACTGTACTCATCATAACTGATCGACTATGGAAGCCTGTAATTTATATTCTGAACCAAATTTAACCAACACACTATTGGGAATCAGGAATTTAGTGGCCCAAGATCTGACTCCAGTTAGATCGTATGATTGATTGACAGTGAGATATACATATTTGCCTCTATGTTTCAAATTCTCTAGATGTGCTTATAGCTTTATGATCTTTGGTATCCGCTAATAAACTGTAGTTGCCGCTTCTCATTCCTTTCTCACTTCAAACACCGTTAAAATTTATATAATAACGGTTACAAGAGTGATTGATTAACGAGGCAAAACCACTATAAGATTATTTAGACAGCTGTTTCAAACTATACGTGTCTGGTTCCCTTGCTAAACGGGATTGAGCTGTACTGTTTGGGTTTTCACTTGAAAGTCCGGATAGTGTCTGGTCCTCCTGAAAACCAATGTAAAATTACTCTGGCCCACAAGGGTATATTGTATTGTATAACTGTTTAAACTAGCATGAGCCTTATCAGTAATGTTCATCTACATACCGCAATGAGAATAAAACTCAAAACCTTTAGGTCTTGTAGCGACAAGTGAACTTTTAAAACATGACTAATTTTAATCGATTCATAATATTTAACAACCATCTTGATAAGTAAAATTGCCTCAGATTGAATATAGTAAACTTTAACGGAATACAATTCTTCATTGGAATTTCAAGAATTGCCTCTTGAAATTATTCATTAGTGACTATATGATCATTATTAGGATGAGAAATTCGTGGTTTATGTCAAATTACGTAATAATTATTTGTCGTTAACTTGTTTACATTAAAAAAAAACAACAGAACAGTTCTATAAATAGAATTTCTTGTAGTTTCCGTATGTATTCATTTATGATCTTGACTAATGAATAAATGTTCATGTTATCTATTCTCTCAACAACAAAAAAAGATATTGACTTTGAATATCTGTTATTGTTGGTTGCTAAGTTATTGAAATAATTTTCTATTTACACATATCTAATAAAATTTGTTCATTATGAACTAAAATTTGGACAATAATATTAGAAAAGAAAGAAACACTTATGAATGAATATCTTAGTAACAGATTGTTTAATGTAACAAATCGGTAACTTAATTTATCATAGATCTATGAATGTAACCATATATGAATAAATGAATAGACAAGCAAACAAACAAACAACAGGTGTTTCATTTAACATACTCATGATATCTTTATTTCTCTATGTGAAAACTTAATCAAAAATCATATTGGGTTTTTTTTATTAACCAGAGTAAATAGTTCTTTTCTTTTTGCATAAGATTGGTTTCAATGTGTATAAAGATAATAACGTGATAAGTCGTGAAATATGTTAAGAACCTGTTATATCATAACGATAATAAGTGCATGGTAATTGTAAGGAGCTAATTATAAACTATTATTATATTATATATATTCATATGTCTCTTATCATAAGCTTTCATTTGACCTATTGACTATTACTACTTATAAATTGCTCCCGATTTATTGGTTACAATACCTCACACTCACAGCAGCTTTTTGGCCTGATTTTGTGTAATTTTTATTTTCTATTTTATGGTGTGATGTGGTCTGATTTGTTTGTATATAAATTGTGTATGTCTGAAATATATGATTCATGTAGTAGAAGCGGAGATTGTGTTCTGGACTCAAAGGTCAGGGCAAGGCAAGAAGAACTAATAAGGATTCAGAGATTACTCTTGGCTGCTCGTACTGGTTAACACGTTATTGGTTTGATACAGTGCTAAAGTTGTATAGGTCGATGTTCTAATTGGTGATCTTGTCACGTAATAATTTACAGGCGACATGATATAACAGAGTCAGTTCTAATGTAGTAATTATTATTTTCAAAACAAATGTAATTAATGTCTTATCAACAATTAGATTTAATTAACACGTAAGCTTTCTACGGAATTCTAAATACACTATCCTAAAGGAAAGACTGAAATGACTGTAACGTTTTTATTTACTTAACCGAATTTTAATATACACAAATCTTAGGTACATATACTAATATACTTACAGTCCATACAGGGATATACAGAATGGGGCCATGAGTAGGTTCACAACCCACTTCTCCCACTAGCATGTCACGTTTCTGAGTTTTGCTTTCGCATCTTAACCGTGAGATGACATATGAGCACAGATACGTAATGTGACTATGCTTGCTTAGCTTATCATCTTTTCCTCCCCCATGAAAAAACATTACTTACATTTAAGATTTAGTTGTAGTAAGAATTCATCATGACTAGTGGAGTCCGACTGTATCAGGAGTTAAGCCGTTAGTTACCAGTTGGACTAATTAATCGTTACCGTAAATTAAAAATTAGTTTAAGTAGGAAATGTTGACTACTAGGTAGGAGGTAACTGAGTTAAAATTAATGCATTTGCTTCATTAATCTATTGATCTGGCAATCAATCATTAATAGTGTAGTGATTCTGTATTATTAAAAATTCACATAATCTGAAAAAACAGCAATTCAGTGTTTGATGGGTTTTAGGAGTACTTCAGTCGGTATGAACCGACCACGTTTTCTGGTATAGATTGAAGAAAAGCTATGGGAGGTCAAACTAAAACGTCAAAACAGTACATCAGATTTCATAGTATTAGTATTGAAATAGATTTTATAATGCGTATATATGTAAATTATGTTTTAAAGAGAAGAGATTTCATTGAATCATAGATTTAATTTCTTAACTGTTAATTGATCGTGAACGAAAATAAACCAAATACAACATTGTTTACAAACAACTTGAACCAAGAAAAACTAGCTAAACATCTAGTTTATGCTATTGCAGCAAAATGGTTCAGATTATTTTGTCACCGATATTATCATTGACGAATTTTAGTTATCATGTGTGTGTGCATCATGTACGAATCACCCCAATGTAATGATTCTGTTACAACTTATATAGAACAGATGAATTGTGGCTTATGATAGAATTCAGGGTATGCATTTCATTCAGTTAAAACTTAGTTAGAATTAAGTGTGCTCTGGCGTTAAGCGTTCAAGTCTCAGTATTTACAGTAAAACCGAGGTGTAAGCAAATCTAACTGACAAGTTACCATAAAGTCGAAATGCACTTCTTGGATTTCACTGCTAGTGTAGTGAACGAAAACTCAATTCACACAGTGTCTTTGTAAAATATGAAAATCACACAATAAATATATCATTTTAAATAACTTCCTTCAGTTATCCTTTACATACTCCATCATTCTTTGAATCCTGTTGTTATTCTAGTTGTTCTTTATTTTCCTTCCTCTTCTCTTTATTTCAATCTTCTACTGGTAAGTATTTCACTTACAATTGCTGCTACATACTACTTATATCTGTCTTCATTAATAGCGTGCACCATACTAGTCATAATCCATCTGTATTAATCAACGTTGAGTTGTCTAGTTTATTTATTTTTAAACAAACACTATCAGTGGTGGTACAAATGAAAACATTTATGAAATTCATTGTAATAAGCACAGAATGCAAATGTATATGATGAATGTTATTAACCAAGTAAATGATTTTAAAAAATGTTTTTATAAAACTAGTTGTTACATCCTCTGAACTTTGTTTTCTTTAAATTATCCCTTGATTTTAAATCGTCTCACTAATGACAGTGTTGATTTATGGAGAAAATTAAAGCTTCACAATCAAACCAATCAATTCAGAGAATATTGCGCTAAAGAAATGTGTTTATTTGAACTAAAAGTTTCTTTATCATTTCAATGTACTTAGTAACATGATTATTTAGTTAACGTTCTATGGACATTTGTTTCATTGTAGGTTTCCTCCTTCACAGACTGATCTCATTTAGGATACCAATGAAAACCAAGCAGTATTGAACAGTTAATTCATTCTAGTATGATATATCTAATCAGTGAACATCGAGGGTTGAATCGAAAACCTTTAAGTTTCAGAGCAATTACCTAACTAATAGAACACTAGATTAGTATAGTATAATATCAGTTTCTATCAATGCACTCCCTAGTTCTTAATGGTACTCAAATATAGATCCATTTATGACGAAAAGTACCTCAATAATTATTTATTATCTATAATTGATATTTCGTGAAGATTAAATGTTTATTATTCATATAAAATTATTTATTTTAACTTGATAAATTTTCATTTTATATTCGTTTTTTCGTCATTTAAAAAAATAATAATAATAATTACCAAGGTTCCGGTGGTGTATCAAAAATTACAACAAAGGATGACTTCAAGGTGAGTCTGGCTATTCACTCATTGAATATATATATATATATATATATATATATATATATATATATATATGAATATAATTCTTAGTTTATTCATATTATTATTGAACAATTTGATTAGTTAATGCATTAAATAAGTTCATTTGAAATTGTATTTCTTCATTTACAATTTGTTCTCGTATCAAATCTACTTTCTTTTTTGAAAGCTAAATATAAACCAGGTGAAATTGTGATTGGTTTTCTTTTTTTTCAAATGTAGAATCAAATGAGTTAATTATAAATTTTTATGAACGATTGTATTAAGTTTAGATTAGAGTGTACTTACTTCACTTTACTTACTTACTTTGCTTTACTTACTTACTTTACTTTACTTTACTTCACTTTACTTACTTACTTACTTACTTACTTACTTTACTTTACTTTACTTCACTTTACTTACTTACTTACTTAATTTTTGTAACACTGACAAAAGGACTCATAAGTACTATATAGTTTTCTCGTTGTTATTCTAAATATTGTTTTGTCCTATATGTAGCCTGGTTCGTGTATGTGAGAGATAGAGAGTATGTCAAACAAAATTTACATTTATGTTCTGTTTCTCAATGTCTATGTGCTTTTGTTAATCCCATTGGTATATATTTTTTAGTATAGGGTTGTGGAGATTATCGAATTTTATTAAGATTATGAAACTATCTACTTTAGAAAACCATTGAAATTTTGAAGGCACTAGACGGTTGTCTCGTCCTGGTACGGGGTTCTTTATTGATAGATACTCAAACTCAGGATCTTCATTTCCTCACGTGAATGCTTAACTTAAGAATGACTTAACAGGGATTCAGTCAACCCAGTATATTACGTTACTATCTTCTCTGGTGTGTAATGTCTTCACACCCGATGCAGTTGAACTCAACTAACCGTTCCATGCTTCCATGTCAATAATACATATGTACAGATGTAACATGCATACTTTCGCCTGTTTATTTTTCGTTAGATTCTGTATTAATATCTTCTTTTCACTAAGACGTAAATAGTTTTAAATAAGAATCATAAAATGCTAGAGTAAATTATCGTTCAACGATAAATTTTATAACGGTTCAATATTTATTGAATACAGATTAGAAACTGGTCATTAGTCAACAGACGTTTCCATCTAGCTTGAGACCACTAACTAGTGTAGAAATAAGTGATAAAATATAGAACTTTGGCGATTCTCTGAAATCACGAAAACATTCACACTAATTCAGTGGTACATATTTCCAACTTCAATCAATTCGATATATGGAGCGTAATCTTTGCAGATGAACATATCGATAAAGAGAAACAGTTATGGTTAAAAACCTCGTTAGATGATAACCTCACTAAAACCCAAGTTAACTGTGGTTGAAAATGTGAACTGTTTTGTTCCAACTCAACTGATTGTTAGGTTTATGCCTCCTATCAAACTCTAAGCTTTTAAATTTAGTTATCTCTAAGGCCATCTGACACCTTTCTGCAAAGGTTTGAACTCAGAGGAGTAAATTATTCAAAGTTTCCTGTATTTCAATAGTTTATCGGTAGATGTTAATCCATGATAAGAACTTTTTCACTTCTAATGAATCTTCATAGTTCACATCTATGGAAAAAAACTCATGTTTTTTTGTGGTTATATTACACAATCTAAGGAAATTTAAGCCATTGTATGTTTGTAGCTATCCGTTGTTGAAGAATTTTGAGCTTTGACAAAATAGTTTATAAGTAATATACAATTTCTATGTACTTTAGTTAATACCAAAGAGCCTCTAAGAGAAAAAAAACATTTAAACCAAAAAACACTATGAAATATATTTTATACAGTTGTGATATCGGCTTTTCTAATTAACTTTTAGACAAAGATGGATGGTGGCTAACAGTGGAATCCAGGAGTGTGTTTCGTACTATTTGGGACTTGGCAGCTGGATGTACCTGCATCCTAGAAATGACGTCCATTTCGGGACTCAAACTCAGTATTATTCACTCCAAACCTCATCATATTATCCAGTTAGCTACTTGGTCCTGATAGCCAGGTACATCCGGCTGACGAGTCCCAAATCGGACGAAACGCATATCCTGGATCCCACTGCTAGCCACTATCCATCCGTGCTTATAATGCTTGTGAATTAAGGCAATATCTAGGCAGTCCGCACAGGATGTACATATACCAACAAGAGACTGATCAATTGCAGTTCTAAACATCAATGGGAAGATTCAAACAGACAATACCAATTGAATTTAACTTCTCAAATTTTATCACTTCCTAAAGTTTGTAAAAAGATGATGTGAAGATTATTTATGTATTTACATAAATTCTTGGAGTACTAAAAGTTTACCGAAAAGTTGGTTAGACTAATTAAATTATTAGAAATGATTTCAAGTACTCTAACATTTGTAATCCGGGCAGTAATAGGTGTAACATACTGTGAGGGTACATAATATTGATACATCACAGCATTATCACTGTTTGGGTTAGGTTTTACTCCGTTTTTCTTTTCAAATATTAAAGTTACATTCTTTACTATTTTTTTTATTTTGTCAAACTTTGATTAGGTAAATGAATGTAAAGATATTTATTAAGTTGGTGTTGAGGTTGAAAGTCCTTAGTTTATAATTATTCAGTTATAAGCATATAGTGTTTACAGGTATATGTTGAAACAGCAAAAACTGTCGTTGAATAAACAGTTCTTCTGTTCTATTATGTAAATCCTAAAGAGTACTGAACCATTATTTTACTCAGAATGAATTTCAGATTTTTCAGAACTCATAGTAGGCACGATTTCATGAGCGATTCATTGAATTTCTCATCAGAGTCACCATTCAAACGGGGTTTTTCAATACATGACAGCATTCATACAGATAGATTTTACGATTTCGCATGAGGCTTAGATTTAAATGTATGATAATTAACTCACGATCTAAGTTGGTTAAGCTTTGTAATACATCTCTGGTCGAATGAAGATGAAAATATGAACCAATATATTTTGAACTGTAGACGCCCAACTTCGTGACCAACAGGCAGGACTCCGTAAGGATAGATCGTGTACAGACCAAATCGCAACTCTACGGATCATTGTGGAACAATCAATTGAATGGAATTCATCACTCTACATCAACTTCATTGACTACGAAAAAGCATTTGATAGCGTGGACAGAACAACACTATGGAAACTTCTTCGACACTACGGTGTGCCTCAGTAGATAGTCAATATCATACGGAATTCCTATGATGGATTAAACTGCAAAATTGTGCATGGAGGACAGTTGACAAAGTCGTTCGAGGTAAAGACCGGTGTTAGGCAAGGTTGCTTACTCTCACCCTTTCTCTTTCTCCTGGTGATCGACTGGATCATGAAGACGTCAACGTCTGAAGGGAAGCACGGGATACAATGGACATCTAGGATGCAGTTGGACGATCTGGACTTCGCAGATGATCTGGCCCTTCTATCCCAAACGCAACAACAGATGCAGGAAAAGACGACCAGTGTGGCAGTAGCCTCAGCAGCAATGGGTCTCAATATACACAAAAGGAAAAGCAGGATTCTCCGATACAACACAGAATGCACCAATCCAATCACAATTGACGGAAAAGATTTGGAAGATGTAAAAACCTTTACATATTTGGGCAGCATCATTGATGAACAGGGTGGATTTGATGCAGATGTGAAGGCGCGGATCGGCAAAGCAAGAGCAGCATATTTACAACTGAGGAACATCTGGAATTCAAAGCATCTGTCAACCAACACCAAGGTCAGGATTTTCAATACAAATGTCAAGACAGTTCTACTATATGGGGCAGAAACCTGGAGAACTACAAAAGCCATCATCCAGAAAATACAGGTGTTTATTAACAGTTGTCTACGCAAAATACTTCTGATCCTTTGGCCAGACACTATTAGCAACAACGTACTGTGGGAGAGAACAAACCAGATCCCAGCGGAGGAAGAAATCAGGAAGAAGCGCTGGAAGTGGATAAGGCAAACATTGAGGAAAGCACCCAACTGCGTCACAAGACAAGCCCTCACATGGAATCCTGAAGGTCAAAGCAAAAGAGGAAGACCAAAGAACACATTACGCCAGAAAATGGAGATAGACATGAGAAAAATGAACAAGAATTGGATTGAACTAGAAAAGAAGGCCCAGGACAGAGTGGGTTGGAGAATGCTGGTTGGCAGCCTATGCTCCATTGGGAGTAACAGGCGTAAACAAAAAACAAACAATATTTTGAACTATTGTTTTAAGTAGTATCATGTTAAATGAAACATCATGATTTTTTTCAGGTTTGATATTATTTAAATAGTTTCGTGTGAAATAGGTTAAACAGATGAAAGATATTTAATCTTCATCTCTCTCTCGCTTTGCCTCTTCATATACAGATTCCTATTATTTCTGATAAAAATCAACAGTTTAAACCACAGACAATTACGTCAAATAATTGGAATGGTAGTCATTCATTGCCATCGCTTAATTCAATTCCAGTCACTGGAGTTAATCCATTTAACAATATTACTAATACTAATATACAATCTATAGTGAGTAACGGTGTAAACGATACAATAACCTCGAAAACAATAACAGCGGTGACCACTACTGTTACTAGTATCACTACCACTACTACTACCTCTACTATTAACAGTACTTCTACTCTTGCTACAAATCCAATCAGACAAGATTTAATTTCATTCAATGAATGGCCGAATGTTACAATGCTTTTATCCAATCAAGTGAGTGAAGTCATACAGGGGATGCAATATATATTTTTTTCTGTAGTTAGTTTATTTGTTTGCCAAGATGGAAATTAGAAGAGTAGTTATGTGATAAATTCATGCATATATAGAGTAATTGTTTGCAGTTAACATATGGCAAACACCTCTGATTGTTTATTCTTTCCTTTTTGATAATTTTGTGTCGTTGTGTACGTGTACATGTATATTTGTGTATGAATGTTCAGAGATGATATAGAGTAGAGTTTATTTGTTGTTTAAAAGAGATAGATGAAATAAACAATGATTTTCTTTCTATAGAAATGAATCGATTAATTATTGTTAAACATACGCAGTAAATTGGTGGTTGATTTAATTGATAGTGTTACATCAGATCAAGTTGATGCATTACATCACCAAAGTTAGATGTCGTTAACAAGATGAATTGGAAAAGAATTTAAATTATAGTAGCTACAATTAACCTTGAGAAAGACTAAACATTGAAGAATGTTGTTTTAAAAAAAAGAGGATAAGTTTTGGGAAATCGTAAGTGAATGAATCTACACAATTGCGAATGATCCTGAATTGTCACTCATTGTCTTCAACTACAGATCGAGGTTATCACATGAACCCAACCGAATAATTTGCTCCTACGACCAAGATTCAATTCAACAGTTAAGAACTTCATAGTTCATTCATAGCTATTCACTCATTATTTGTATCCATGTTACTTATTCGTTCATGCAAAACATCGTTTTAAGAGTGTCATTAATAGGCCTATTTGATCATAAAATAGAGTTTAAGAATATAGTTTAGTTCAAGCAAACTTGACTGACTAACATCAGTAACTCTTGAAATGACCCTGGAAAATGAATAACATTTTTAACCAATCAGAATGAAGCTGTAAAAGCTGAATGATTTACCATATAATATGTTTAAGTTATAGAGTAGTTGTCAGTAGTTTGGTGTGATGGTTAGAATCATTGTTAGAAATACTTTGTAACCATATGGATTAATATTTATGAATTTAGTTTCTTAGTTTTGAGTACAAATAAGTTTTGATTTACCTTCAGAAAATCATAAATTCTTATCTCGATATCTTGGTCTTATCATGTTATCAATTGTAGAAATCTTAGTAAGTACATATTGGTAAGTTTCATAAAGATACAAGCTATCCATCATCAAGTTCGAACTCTATGTATAACTTAGTAGTCATTCTCTTAACATTTGTTCATCAGTAAAGTGTACTTTAATCGAGGGTTTTATTTTGAAATGATGTTATTCAGAGAATTTAAAAAAACAAACAAGAAACCCTGAACCAAAGTATTATATTAACTGTTTTACACTTTTACAGCAGTACACATACACAATCGAACCCTTGGAAACTATAGATTTTGCTGAAAGTATCATGCAATTAAGTTACTCACTTGGAATCCATTGATTCGTATTTTAATCTTCATTTAATCTAAAATGTAGCAAAAAGCTCATTCTGTATCATCATCTGTAGGTAATTAACTCACTCTTAGCTTGATAAGATCCTCTTGAAACATATATACTGACTGGTACTTAATCAAATTTATCTTAAAGCTATTTCACTAATGATCATATCATTATTTTTTCAAGTATTTTATGTTTGCCCTTAAATTAACATCAGGTAAAGAGCCAATTTTTCAAGACCAAGTAGTACTGGTTAGTTATTTAGTTGTAATTTAGAATTTCTTAGCAGTAGTAGTAAATCCTATAGTTCATGTTTGCTAAATTAATATCCTTTATTTTCCAACCTGGTTTATAGTTTGTATATGTGTATGGTTAATGGGCGGATAGACCTTAAATGCAACATTTGGAATAAATTATCTGTGTAATGAACAGTTATTATTACATCTGAAAATTGTTTGTCAAATATATGGGTGAACTATGTAAATATAGGAAATATATTTCAAGTGTTGATATTATTTGCCTCCTATCATAATTCAAATAAATTTTAGACTCTTACTGATGAGATCTGTTAAATAGTTTGAGTCAAATTAGTAGGTAGTCTTCATTATAGATAGGATACCATTTAATACCATAGGGCGTGTGGTCTCATTATAAGACTGATCAGCAGGATCGACGAATGATCTCTCCAGCCGTCGAACTCAGGACCTTTAGGTTTTACGGTGGACTACTGGAATAACTGGATCGGCGATTGATGGTACAATCTCAACTTCAGTCAGTTTACGATGAAGCTTGATGAACTTGTTTTGAACTCCAAGTTTGGTTAACTTTGATTTATTCTTCTGATTTGATTATTTCAAAAAGACATTTGCTATCTATATATTTTCTAAAATAAAACTGTAAGCTTAAGTTTTTTAACAGTTGAATTCATGAGTCGATTAATGCGTGATCATCATTGAAAACCTGGAAGCACTAAACGGCCGTTTCGGCCTAGTATGGAACTCCTCATCAGTGTACATCCACAATCCCACTCACGGGGCTCGAACACAGAACCTTCGGTCTCGCGCGTGAACGCGTAACTTCTAGACTACTGAGCTGGCATCCAACGTTGTTAGTGTTTAACTTCAACAAAACCACGAAGTTTTTGGATTAAACATTCTCTATTCGACTTTTTAACTAAATTAAGAAAAATATCTAAGAGTTTCCGTAAAAAATAAAATGCTTTTTTGTTTCCATTTTCGCCTCTCATTCAATACAATACTTAATTAAAATGTAGTTATATTTTATCAGCATCGTCACTAAGAGATACCAAAGACAATGAATGAAATTTATGTAATAGTGTATCTGCTCTCATCCCTATGTATGATACTAACCCCTGTTATGAAGAGCACGAATTCCCCGTAGACTATTGTGAACCAAATAATAGTAGTTATTATTTGCCCAAGGTATTAGCTATCTGAGCTCAACAGCTAAGTAGAAACACTGGGTGGCTGATTTATCATAGCACTATACTCAAAGATCGCGTTTTTCATTAGTTAAATAATCCTTATCTATTAAACTAACTGATGTTACGAAGTGATGATGAAAACTGTATGTGTGTAATTTGTTCTTTGTTTAATTCCCCTGTTAGTAATTAAATATGAATTAATAGTTAACAAAGGGTTCTAGGACGGGGCTCTATTTCTGACATGTCAGCTGGATGAGCCTGCATCTCAATGTTGATATTCATACCAGAACTCGAATCCAGCACACAAAGCTAGTAGCTTTCTGAAATCAGCAGCTCAGAGGACAGCGCAACGTGTATTTAAAGCAAAAAGTATTAGGTTCGATTCTCAGTGTAAACATCAACATAGATGCAGGTACATCGAACTGACGAGTCACAAATCGGATGAAACGCTCATCCTGGGTTCCACTGCCAGTCACCACCCTAATTTCAGTTAATTTCCATTATCGTACAACCATTATCTAATCAGACTGATAGGTAACTACCTCCAATCAATGTTTGTTCGTGATGCAAACTACGAAATATTTTGTTCCATTTGTAATCACCCTTGTAATAAATGGCAATAATAACGATAACATTTTCTCGCATTTGTCTTACCCATATTTCTTATTATTCCGTTAGAATTCATCAAATGAGATAATAAGAACAACTGGATCAATTGTTCCAGGAGCTAATACAACGATAACAGCAAATGAACAAGCTTGTAATTTTATAAATCGTTATCCGAATCCACAAACATCATTCACTCCATCCATCGTTAATTTATCATCATCTAAACAAGCACCATTAAAAATGACTAACAGTAATAATGATAATAATAATAACAAACATATTTCATCAAATCGTTTAATTCAAACATCCACAGCAAAAGTTACAACAACAACCCCAGCGGAATTGGCAATGGTTACAACATCAAGTTCTGGTAATTTCACAAATGCTATGTTAATAGGATCTACACTTATACCACAAATGGCCTTATTTGATAGAGAAATAAATGAAGTTACTAAATTAATGAATGGACAAGCTACATCCGTTAGTAATAATACACATAATACTACTATGAGTAGTAATACTAACGTAAAGTAAGTTGATTTTGGCAATAATTTTAGTTTGTAACTTCTCAATAATCCACACACAAAGTCAAATCAACATCTTTTAGATTTTACAGTAGATGGATTCTTAGGGATTTTTAAAAAAAGGAATTGAGTGAAACATTTATCGAGTGCTTTCTAGTTTCTGACAGTTTTCTACTTCATGTTACTCCTTGGAGAAGTTTGTTTTTAAGTTTAACTAACTTCTACGGGTCGGTTATTTAAACAATTGTTGGGTGAACGCATTCACCGTGGTTGATAGCTTGTATAGTCTCAATTTTTTATGATCTGAACTTGTTATTAGACTAGAGTTTAATGTATTCTGATTAGAAGCTTCACTGTTAAAACAATGCAATATAAGCAAGGGTCAACTACTGTTTTTGTCTATGCCCTATTAATTATATCGCATGATTAATTCTACCATAGAGAACACTGACTTTTATGGCTCTGATACTGTACCAAATCAATGATGCGGTGCCCAGTACGAACAGTCTAGAGTCAACTGTGAGTAATAGCCCTGAATTTTTGAGTCCAGAACATCAATATCAGCCTCTGCTTTATGAATCATGCATTTCAGACATAAGCATTTATATACAAACAAAACAGACCACATCATACCATAAAATAGAAAATAACAATTAAACTGGATCAAGCCAAAAAGTGATTGTGAGTGTAAGATACTGTAATCAATAAATCGGGAATAACTTATGAGTAGTAATAGTCAATAGGTCAAATGAAAGCTTATCATAAGAGAAATATAAACATACATATAATTTAGTCACTCAATAGTTATACAGCAAGAACATATATATATAACAACAGTCCATAAGTAAATCCTTAAAGTTTCTATTCACTTATTCTTCATCCGGACATAACAACCACTCACCATTATTGATCTACTAGGCGGAAGTATTGAACTGTTTACTGAATGATAATGAAAATGACTAAATAAATAATTGAACAAATGGAGTGCCGGTAATATTTTCCAGAACCTCAAAGACGACAATATCATTGAAAACACCTTCTATCATTACTATTAATTATCTTCTCTCATATTAATTAATTACACAATTCGATCGAATTATTTTTAATAATATAACCAGAAATTAAAATTCTACATTAAAAATGAAACATAATATTTACAATCAATTGTCATGTAGTGATGTTAAAAGTTATTTTGACAAAGATAAAAGTAAACAGTCATCGGGTCAATCTATGGATTTAATTTAAGCGTTTTCAACTCATCAATTGATAGATATGTCAAAATAAATAGTTTTTGTTGTTCTATGGGCATTCTTCAATCCATTCAGATATTGTAAATGTGTATACATTACTTAAATACTAATTATTTCTATAGGCAAGAATAATGGGATTTGTAAATTAGTAGTTAAGATATACATAAGTTATATTATTATTGTAATGAATCATTCCAAATGACATTTATTGTGTGTTTTGTTTTTGTTTCTGGTTATTGAACATAGAATATGTCATAGTTTGAAATTGTTTAAAACTGTCTTTGATTTTCACTGGTGAATATCGATGAATGGCAGTTTAATAACAAATATGACAACTAGTTCTATGTAGAAAAAGAAAGATGCGCACTGCTGAGGAGTCCCATACCAGGACGAAACGGCTGTCCAGTGCTTTCAGGTTTTCCATGGTGGTCTAGATTCAACTGACTCATCATTTCAACTATTGAAATATGTATTAAACCATATTTTATATTTATTTATAGTGAAAAGAAAGAACAGAGATAAGGAGTTCCTTTTGAATTAGTTTTCCATCACGACTCTATATATATGATTCGCAACAATGAAATAATACTCATGTAGTTGAGTTACGTAATCACAAGCCCTGTATAACTGACTTCACAGGAGCATTCCATTATCACATGGCAAAACACCATCCGTCTTGAATGAGCAAAGGACAAGTAAGATTGATTAAGAGTTCTATTCTCGCTCACTTGGTGGACACATGACATCAGGTTGACTTGAATAAGGCATTTAAGGTTATCCACTATATATCATTAAATTTACCACAGGGTTTACGAGTTTGTCTTTTGCATATTTCTGAAGCTATCGAAATCTATGTTCACTAATCTAACCTTTGCATTCAAAAATGTTTGTAGAACCACCTTCGCTAGTTTAGCCGTCGGGATAACTGTGAGCTTTTAGATGAATTTTCATTTAACTCATTCTATCAAGAATATTCAAATAAATTTCTGATTTCTTTCACTTTTGTATTTTACATACTCTCGAAATTCTTAGTTTGATTCTAACATGACTGCTATATTACTGACCTTACATCTAAATATTTTGTCAGTTCTTTCTGATTATATATTATACTATGTAGTAACTGTTTGATTATTCAAACAATCACTTTGATTACTATAATCCTCTTTCGTTTAATTACTCAATATTAGTTGAGATTATGAACTGATTAGTGTTAGGCAACCAGTGAAAACCTGGAAACAGTGAACTGTTGTTTCAGGTTTTCAGTGATGGTCTAACATTGATCAGTTCATGATCTCAATTCAAACTCAACATTCTCCACGACCCTATACTGTTACTCAATATTATTTTATCATCAGCGTGTCAATAAAATAATTATTACGTAACACCATTATTCAATGAGTGTTAGTTCATTGTTGCAAATCCCATATATAAATATTAGAGTGGAGCCATGATGAAACACTAATTTAAAGGAAATCTCTTCGCTTTATTCGTCCTTCTTACCAAATCTCTAGTTTTCTTATGTCTTTAATCGTTAAAAGCTCACGGCTTTTATTATTTATTTTAAAAAAAAAGAGCATAAAATGTAAGTAAAATGTATGTACTGAATGGATGTTATTTTAGATCACTGAATTATTATTGGAATGAGTACCTTCATAAACATGTAAGTCTAAAGTTGTCTTGAATAATTAAAGTACAAAAAAGCATTTTGAAGGTTACATAATGGATTAGTTAAATATTATGCCTTTGCCATGGAAGGTACATTAAAAAATTTATTTGTTAGAACTATAACCGGTATTTCATAACAATTTGATATGAACTGAAAGAAAGGTATTACAGTATTACAATACGTTGAGAAATTGTATAATGAGTTAAGTTTACAGAAGAGATTCATAGTTATTGAATTAGTATGAATGAAGGTAGTGTGATTCAATGAGGTTCAGATATTTATTCAAGTTTTCGATTTCAACCATAAAACTCGGTATTCACTTGGTATTATATGGCTTGTATCTTCCCATTGACGTTTAAGATTGCAATTGATCAGTCTGTTATTGCTATATGTGCATACTGTGCGTATACCTCGATATTGCCTTAATTCACAAGCTTTTTGTAAGCAATGATGGTTAGTGGCTAGCATTGGAATCCAGGACGCGCGTTTCGCCCTATTTGGGACTCGTCAGCTGGATGTACCTGCATCTCAGAGTTGATATTCACTTCTGGACCGGAGCTGAGGGAAAGTTTCCACTTTACATTACAGTCTATTAAGGGAAATGTCAGTTTTTACATTCCATTTAAAGGGGGGAAGGAAGTAGACTGTTCGTTACAAAAACTGTAAATCTTGACTAATTTTATGTTTAAAATGTTTAATTATATCACCTCAGCTTTTATATTTTCAATCATCCCTTTTGTATTTTTTTTCTTGACACTCTATTTCACTACGTGACATATGTATTCAAATCGCCTGTTTCGGTCACACACTTATTGGAGTAAACCTTTTTTACCACACTATTGTAATTATTGAGGGGGATAAATTGTATAACTATATTCTTCTTAAAGTAAATATTAATTAAAAAAGTATTTCAGTATTTCAATCAATAGTAATAATTTGACTGTTGTAATCAATGTATGTAAATATGCACATAATTTGATCCGTGACTCACGTCGGTGATGTAAACTGCCTAGTTAATTCCACGCTAGACTCGTGTCAGCTAGTCATGAGACAGGAATATGATATTTTCAACTACTTATGAAGTAAAATATGTCCTTTATAGATAAAACGTACTAGTATTTGATCATAAATGCTTTCAAAGTATTACTTGCGCGTGTTGGGACCATCGAGTGTGTAACCCCTCATCGACTGAGGGGGTAATAACTTGTATTGTGTATGCTCAAGAGTTGTTTATCTTAAAGTGCAATATTGTCCAGTGCATAGTTTGGCTGGAAGAGAACTATGGGACGTTCAGCCGAAAACATATCGTTAGTCCACGACTCCATAGACTGTTAGTCTGAGCCGTGTTGGTAATTGCAGGTTATCCAGTGTCGATTATGTAGCTGCTATGATCGATGATTGAGAATATCCGATAACATGACTCAAAGTCGGTCGGAAAACAGCAAATGCATTAAGTATTTGTCTTCTCTTGGATTCTGAGTTTTAAAATTATTTGAACCTCTCTATTCCGTGGATTAGCTTTTCGTTTTCAGAGTGTATTCTCTACGCCTACTTTTCTTTACTATCACTGAAATTATTACTACTACTTCATCCTGCTTATTTATCTCACTGAGGTATTATGGTGTCACAACTGTGAGCATGACATATCCCACGTTCCTACATTCTTTATAACTAACTAACTAACGGATGAGGAAGTTGATCCTAAACTCAAAACTATGATAAAGTATCCGAACAATTCATCCTGGGTATTCGGTAGTATTCCATCTGATGTCATTCCATTAACAAGTTTTGAAAAATAATGTTTTTTTTAAAAAAGAAAATCATTAAATCATATCATTAGTTTGCATTTATTAATAATATTAATGCCTCAGCATAAATAATTAATGCATGACTTCTTGTTATTAATTCTAAGTTTAGTTGTAATAATCTTATCATTAATCTAATATACATAAAATATGCATGCGAAATTCATTTCACAGCAGGAACCACATATTTTGTTCCAAAATTACACAACATATTAGATCAAAATACTTTAATATATATACACGGAGAGAGAATCAAATATCGATTTATAGCATTTCCATTTATTTGTACTAAACATAAAAATGTTTATTTGAATAAGAAAAACAGAATTCGAATAAATGCGAAGTAGAGGCTAGTTCATGAAAGAACATAAAAAAGGGAAAGGAAACCAATAAAATTATTAAATTCACTTGTTGGTGTTGTTTGCTTGTATCTTCCTATTGTTGTTTGGGACTTCAATTGATCAGTTTCTTATTGGTATATATGCATCCTGTACGGATTGCTTCGATATTACCTTCAGTTACAAGCTAGCCACTATCCATCTTTGCCTATAAAACTATTAGTAATTATAATGATAATAAATAAATTTATTATTCTATTGAATGTCTTTCTTTGATTTGAATGTAACCAGTTGGATACTGTAATAAATTTATTTAAATGTCATACGAACCAGTATGAAGTAATCATAATGATTTGAATAATATATGAGTCTACCATAGACGATCAATTTGACACGGTGCTATAAAAATTGTTTAATTGACTTGTATAACGTTTGTATGTGTATGTTTACTTCCTCTTTGTACAAAATCACATTTTTGATTACAGTAATAATGATTAAATAATAAGGCTAATGATTTGTTCGTAACTATAAATGGTTGATTTCGACAAATTTGAATAACACTGATACGAAACGATAGACAATATTTTTAATCTGTACATTTTGTATATTTTAAATCAATCTTGAATAAGGGAAATGATGGAATACAGTTATATGTAAACAAGCATCCCCAGTATTTTAGGTGATTAAAGGTAATCAAATCCCCCAAGGAGGAACACTTCCCGTAAAATTATAGGTACGCCTTGTTGATGAGTGTTGATTCACATAAAACCTAGGTCAAATAGGGTTTCTTGTCGACTATCTACGATTGCCTAACATCTTAACATGGTGTATGCGATGTCAAGTCACTTAAACCAGTGGTAACATTAAAAATTCATCGATCGAAGTGGATCACCTCGAAAAGAAATTGATATACATAATATTAGTCATAATTAAATGATCAATCAATTGTAGATTTCCAGTATACTTGTTTAACACAATGAGAGTTAACGATAACAAAGCAGTTTAACTAGCTAAGTGATGAATATGTACAAATAATTACAGATTGCTCGATGATGTACTGTAATATCTCAATACTCAAACATATCGTCGGTTGACTTATTGTTTATTCAGTCTAAACTAGATTATTATTACAAGAAATATACATTAAAATATTTACATGGAGGTATAATTTATTTTCATAAGATATTAAGTTTTACAAGTAAAGATGGATAGTGGCTAGCAATGGAATCCAGGACACGCGTTTCTTCCTATTTGATACTCGTCAGCTGAATGTACCTGCATCTCAAGTACGTAATAGGACGAAACGCGCGTCCTGGATTCCACTGCTAGCCACTATCCATTTTTACTTATAATACTTGTGAATTAAGGCAGTATTAAGGCAATATGCAAATATGTCAATAAGAGATTGATCAATTAAATTCCTAAACATCAGTGATAAGATTCAAGTAAAACGATACCAAGCGAATTTAAGATATTAAATCGTCTAATTCCAGGAGATATTTTGAATGCATATAAAATTTTTATTGCCGAAATAAACCATTGAATAGTTCATACGAAAAATCAATTTCCATTTTACTAATTCCCATCAGATATACTTTCTATATCTATATACTCTCATTTGAGTAGCAAACATTTATAATACGCAAAAAGATAAACATCGAATTATTTATTTAATTGTATTTGTTTTTACGATGTTTTGTTTATCATTCATAAATTAATAATTCAAAGAAAAAAAAACATTGGTACCTGACATTTATCATCAGTTATTATCCTTCTCTTCTGATTCCCTCGCCCTCTTCTTTTTTATCTTTGAAGAGATTCACGTGTTGGTTGTTTGAAACCGATCAGATTAAATGAACCATTAACAACAATGAGTAAAGCATTTGCTGAAGTGGACAATGCTATTGCACAAGTTGTATCAAATGCTTTCTCTTCTTCATCTACGAACAGACAATTAATATCACCAATAACTGGTACAATTACAAATGTTATAACAACTACCACTACAGTAATGACAACTATGATTGCACCAAGTACAGATAATTTGAAGAATAATAGTTGTGTTAATACTCATTTTATACATAATCACTGTAATCATACCACTGCTAATAGTACTATTGATCATCATAATGATAATGTGAATATTATTGACAAACGTATCACTAATACTATTATTAATAAAGAATTCCCAACACAAACATTACATTTTCCTCCGATATTGGATACACCATGGGAAGAACCAGATTGTAGTGAAGGTGAGTTTAGCTTTGTTCTTTCTTTTATCTGCTAAACATTTAATTTCTCATGGCTGATATCCGAAAATATTTTTCATTTAACATATGAAGTATAGTTTTTTTGTATTTCGATAGTGATTTTCGTTATGAACTGATGACAGTTGGAGATTAATTAAAAACCACAGAATTGGAGACAGTTTATTTGTTTACATCATAAAATGATAATTGAAAATCGAAAAGCACCAAACATCTGTTCTGTTTGAGTATGGGACTCTTCAATACTACAAATCCACAACTATTAGTCAGAGTATATTCATGAACCTACAGGGAATCAAACATAAAACTTTTGGTAATTATAACAGTAGCTTAACCTTTGAGCTGCTGAATCGATATATAATCGTGCACATGATCAGCAGAATTCAAGCATAATGGGCCTCAAACAAGTATCATTGAAGAAAATGGACAGTTAGAAAATTTAAACCATTAAATGCCGACTGAATAATCACTGTTCAGTTTGAAGGTCCTGGGTTTGATCCCGGGTGGTATCATTGATGGGCACTTTTTAGGGATTCCATATTACAATAAATTACCTGTCCAATACTTTCTGATTTTGAATGGTTGTCTAACTAACGTCAGTCTTTGATGTATCTTGGACCAATTGAATTGTTTTCACTTACTACTTCAGTAGTGTTCACATAAGTATTACTCCAGAGAATACTATACCATTCATCCATCGAAAAAATGCAATCCTTTGATCCATTTTATACATCTTTAATCTATTCATAATATAATATTACAAATGGTATATGATCCAGTATGCGGGCGTGAATAATATAATGCTGATAAGTAGATCTAAACAAAGAAAAAACAATTAACAAGTGTTTATTGACTTTTAATGAATTTCCGGTTTATATCTGGCCACAAGGGGAAAACATTACTGACAAATTTAGTAAACTTATATATCCACTAATTACTTAAAAAAAGAAATAATTATAGAGATAAACAAAACACAACTACTAGTGTAGTGACTGGAACCCAGCTATGGTAAACAATTAGTTATATTTTGCCTAATTACACAATGGTTTAGCAAAATATGGAAATCATACATTAAATACAACATTTGCATATCTTCCTTGAGTTATCCTTGACATTATTCATCATTCTTTCGACTCTGTTGTTATTCCGATCTCCTTTCATTTTCTTTTCTTTTCTCTTCGTTTCATTCTTCTACTAGAAAACACTCTACTTCTAATTCCTTCTATATACAACTTATATCTATCCGCATAGTAATACACACTACACTAGAATTGATTGATGTATTGTAAAATCACCTTTCATGATTCACTTTACATTATTCTTCTCTTCAAGAAAAATCTCAACAGATAATATTTTGATGCTGTTTCCTATGTGTTTACATTGTATTCACGTTTAGACCAAGATAAGATTATAATAATTATGGACATGATAAAGAATTGAATTAAGCCAAATTAAGTTTTATATCTTCCATTGAAATTAGTTGAAGTTCAAAATGATTTATTTAACAGATCATCGATAAACAATCGGATAAGTAAAAAAAGAAGAAAAAAAACAACAGACTGTTTATCATAAATGTATGAAGAGGTGAATTCCGTAGAAACTTGTTGTGAAGAAGAAATCTGTAAAATGTCAACAATAAAATTGAAAAACCTCAACAACAAAAATGAATAAACGTTTCATATTTTTCACATAAAGAAAATAAACAAAACTAATCACTATTCAAATTGATTTCAACACCGAATTGTCAGTATATAAAAGATGTAAATTCACTTGGTGTTGTTTGTTTATATCTATCCATTGTTATTTACGATGGTAATTGATTATTAACTTACTGGCATGTATGCATCCTATGTGGGTTGCCTCGATATTACCTTAATCACAAATTTTTTTAAGCAAAGATGGATAGTGGCTAGCATTAGTTTTTAAAATAAGTATGAAATGTGTAAATAAGTCAATAAGCGAGTACATTATTGATTATATTCATTTTTTATATTTAAAACCATAAACTGATATTAGTTAGACAACCATTAATATCGTGTAGGGAACAGAACACGAATGGGGACAATCAAATGTATCTAACACAAAATTACATGACTTGTTAATAAAATCTATCAATCATGAAGTAAATGCTCAATTTGCAAAATGTCCATCGATTGTCTCAAAATGACTCAGACGTCATTGTTCTTGCATTTTCATACAAACTGCATCCTGTTTCGATTCTTTACTGTTCCATCCTTTTGTCTCTCTGCTGTCAGACATTCTGTTCACGACTAACATCATTTACTAATTATGTCAATATAATTAGCACACATCACAATAGCACTAAGCAACAATGCCAGAATGTTTGGAGTGCGCTTCTCTCCCTCTAATCCAAGTTGTTGCTTCAAGACTGGTCTGCGTCAACACCTGAACTAAGGATAGGGAGTGACGTAGTCGAACGCGTTGACGAATTCACTTATCTTGGAAGTCTGACCGGCCCTAATGGGTTGATGTCTGACGAAATCTCCGCACGGATTCGAAAAGCTCGTTTGGCTTTTGCCGATTTATGTCACCGATGGAGAAGGCGAGATATCCATCTATCAATAAAAGGATGAGTATACTGCGCAGCAGTCCGTTCTGTTTTAATCCATGGCAGCGAAACATGGCCATTAAGAGTAGAAGATACTCGTGAGCTACTAGTATTTGACCACAGACGCCTTAGAAATATTGCTGGCGTCTGCTAGGATCACCGGGCAAGTAATAGTGAGGTTAGGCGCAGGGTATTAAGGAATGATGGTAAATCAGTTGATGAGGTTTTAAAACTTCATCGACAGAGATGGTTGGGCAACGTGTTACGTATGCCTGAACACCGATTACCACGTCATGTAATGCTAACGGGTGTTAGAGATGGTTGGAAGAGGATGAGGGGCGCGCGACTATCGTAAACAATGGTTGGAGACTCTTGGTGACATGGCTCAGAATCGATCACAATGGCGTCGGTGTATACACTCTCTTTCTTTCCTTAAACTATGAGATTAAAATCACTTCATATCTTTCTTTCTACGTACGAATTCTTTCTTCTTGTATTATATCCTTATATGCAATCTTTCTTTTATATACTACAAACATTGAATTAACTACTTCTATGAATCCAGTGTTCATCTTGCTGTGTCTGCTAAAGCGGTATGGCAACCTGGACCGATGTATACATGTGCCTGGTCCTACGTTGTAGCTGACTGACTGACTAAGTAAGCAGTGGACACCTATCTCCTCCTTTTATGGGATTCCTCAGTTATACGTATCCATGACCGTGTAACGGATTAAATCTGAGATTTTCGATCTTACATGAATTTTTCACCTCTATACTTTAGGATCTAAATCCAGTGATATATATGTTTCAAAATAAATCATTTCACCATTTGGTTGGCTCATCTTCGGATGCCTACTGTGTATTCCGTAAAATAGTTTGAAAATAATGAACTTTACTGCGAAATGAAAAATCTATTCAATTATCCCACTTTTAAAACGGTATAATAGAATAAGTACGGAAAATATCTATTAATACTTAGTACTTAGTTTTTAGTTCATTTTCAAGATGTTTCTACTAATAAACTAATAACAAATGTGAAATTGTTCAATAACACTAGCCCTATGATTAATTATCTCTTTTTAATGTTGAACTCTTAATATTCACCTAAATATTATCTTACATTAAATATGGTTTAGAACTTTTGTGTCTTAAATTAAATGAGTTGAAGTTATATTCTATCCACTTTCAACTATATTCAGTTCTACAAATAGTTTGAATTGTTAATCAGTTGTTTCAAGTGTTATCAATACTCTATGTCATACTTAAATATTTTACGTAGTTAGTAATAATTGATTGGAAACCCTGAATCAAGATTTTGTGTTAAATAGTATTTATCAATCAGGTGCACTTGTAATCTTGAGGGAACCGATATCCTCTGTATGGTTTCAACCCATGTAAGCTAGCTTCACAGTATCAGATATTGTTACTGAGCTATCTATTTGGCAACTGACTCCTTTTAAGACTGAGTTATATTTAAAATCATTGATCAATCACTGAGTCGTTACCAATGTTGAGGTATACTAAATGTGGATGAGTTAAACAGTTCAACTGATAGTATAGATGATTTTTAGCTTTAAAGTTAGGTTTTATTTATTTGTTATTTATTTTAACACATAGATATTAGTAAAAGGAGGCACCAAATACATATGCGCCGCACATATCTCGTTTGATATGTGTGAGGGCTGTGATACCGCCCGAGTGCCCAAACTGAAGGAGGTGCTTTTCTTAGGGAGCCACACTCAGAGCCTTCGACATGAAGGTCTGATTTACAAGGCAGTGGAGCATCGTTAGGAGATTCAGTCCTATGATAGCCTGTGACCAGCAATTGGTTCATACGCCATTTGTTCCTTTAGGATACTGGAGCCCATGTGCACTATTGGTTTGGAATCAGGGTTCTCCAACTCTTCCTAGTGAACTCTCCATGTCCACCAACCATGTTAAAGCGACGGACATTCGCTTTTCGTCCTCTTGATTTTGTATACACCCCTACCACGAGAAGGCAGTGAGTAGGACTTCCCTGGCAGAGGCTATGTGAGAGAATTTGGAGAGGGAGAGTGGACTCTCCCCACTCTCAGCCGTACCAGGGTATTTGGGGGTATACTTATGTGTCTCTTAGCGTGTTTGTTTTATTACTACAGACTATTTATCCATTTCTAGGCTTAAATAATCACGAAGTCAACTATAATGTTTCTATATCGTATACAATTATGATTGTTAAGTGTTCTCCTTAAATCATAAATATTTTATAAGCTGTTCATTTCTTTTCTACATACTTTTATGTTTCTATATAATTTATATACATTATCTTCATTTTTGATAAGATTATGACTACTATTATACCAAAAGAAAAAGAGAAAGAAAAAAACCGATGTAACCATGACCATATGTTACATAATTTTCACAAATGACCTTCATGTCATCTTATAGTAACGTGAAATAGAATAAACACAGCTGTTCTGTAATTTATTTCTTGTTATTATTATTATTATTATCTTTGAACTAGTTATTTACATGGTGATCGGCTTCAGTGATTGTATTTATATGTATGTATATCGAAAAGGGGAACAAAAATATGAATTCTAAAATGCAAAAGATTTTAAAGTTTTTTTCATAATTATAATATATGCTAGATCAAGATTAGTCAAATGAATTAGTTAATTGATATCACAGAGAGAAGTACATGTTTAAATTCATCATTACTGTTAACAATAACATTCTCTTTTTTTCTTGGTGGATTTTCATTCTCCGAACGGATTGATTTAATCTTACTTAGTTACTGACTTACTTACATTTGTTACCCCCTCATGAAGGAGCATAGGCCGCTGACCAGAATCCTCTGTCCAACTCTGTTCTGGATAATCCTTTCTAGTTGTTTCCAGTTTCTATTGATCCTTTCCATGTCCACATATAGCTCTTCTAAGGTTACTGCCGGTCCCAAGCTTGGATAAAACAAAGAGGGTTAGGCATACCATCGACAACTCCGCCCCGTAGATAATAATCTTGCTAAAAAAACACGCTAACTAGAATAAACAGATTGATTGAATCATTAAGCTTTTATTGTCATTCCAAGAATAATAATCGTCAAAAGGACTGCAGATTGATTATTATCGAAATTCAAATGTATGATTTGAAGATAATATATTCATTATGAAAGCTTAAAGTTGTGTATTCGATCAATGTTGTACTCTCTTGGTAACTCACTATAAAAAGATTCTAATACTATGAATTAAAATATGTTTAGTGCTCTCTATTTTTATAGCGGTTGTTAATTTCATGTTAGTTGATTAATTTCCACAAATCATTTAACCAAAAAGAAACGTGTTTTAATTACAACCTGGTTTGGTAAATGTTTCTGATTTTAAACTAATTAAAATGTTGAAACTATTTCACTAGTAAACTATCCATCAAAATAAGTTAACTTCATTTCTTTGAAAAATATTAATAATCTGTGCTATTCATATGTATTGATATATCAAGTTGACAAGTTTCGAATAGAACAAAACATGCCTCTTAGATTCCACTAATATCCACTGTTCATCTATGCTTATTATCTATGCTATACTCCAAGATAAGGTGGAATAAATTCACGTTAACATAAGTTAGCATAGTATATTAGGAAAGTGGAAAGAAATCAACAAGGTGAATCGTCAAACAGTTGACATAATCGTAATATGTCTATGCGAAAGATCAAGCATTGGAGAATATGGTTCCAAAAGGAAAAATCAAGTAAACTAATGAAATTAATAAATAATGTTTGAGAACAAAACTTAGAAGAAGAAGAAGAAGAAGAAGAAACTGAATATTTCGTGCCATTGAAACTAATGTTGAATCATGTCAACCAATGAATCCAACCACTGTTATAGGTTATCGCATAAATACCATTCACTCAGTTTTCGGCTTCAATTACAGTCTAGGCTAACAGTCAATTATTTTATGTAATGTGATCATGTTTACGTAATAATTTGTATAATAACTGTAGTGAAAAATTTACTCAAATATATGATCTCTTATTAAGATTCAAGTGTACTATTACACCATACCTACTAGTTGTACCATTTCTATTGACATCTTAATCTTCAGGAATAATTTAGTCAATGTATATATGAAATATAGTTCTATTGAACGACAGTATTCATCGGATGTGTTCCAGTTATATATATATATGTATATATATATATATATATATATATTTGGTAAAACGTTTCCTATATTTTTATTATCGATGTTTTCAGAATTAATTCGTTTTTTTTCTTAGAACATGCACAAAGTACATCCAGCAGTGGTGGATCATTTGGTGGTGGCTTTGATAGTGGTAGTAGTGGTGCTGGAAGTTGTGGGAATTCTGGACTAACACCAACTAATACAAATTTATCCACATTTATTGGAAATAATCCATTTTTACCATTGATTAGTCCAACGTTAACGCGTCGTACTTCTTCATTGAATAATTCAAATCATTTAATGAATAAAATAAATTTTACAGATAATAATAATAATAATAATGAAACACCTTGTTCAACTAGTACTACTACTACTAATAATAATAATAGTAATAATAATACTGTTGGTAATATCGGACCAATAGAAACTCAATCAAGTCGTAGCGCTTGGGCAAATGCAATCAGTCCAGAGAATGCTCAACAAATTTATGACGAATTGCCACCATCGAATTTCTTGTTAAACTCACAAACAGTAACACTGAAAGAACGATTAGGTAGGTTTAAACGAAATTTTACTTCAGTTGTATATATATATATTTATAGTTCAGTTTCACTGACATAAATGATTAAGGATCTTCGAGAAATGAATGTTTCTGAAAAAAGGAATGTATTCATATATCGCTAGGTAGTCGATTGAATGATACTATCAAGATGAAAATAGTATTAAGTTATATCTATGATAAATCTACTGGGTTAATCACTAAAATCATTAGAATTCATGTATCTGTAACACACAACCCAGTCAAATGTTCATCTGCATGTGTGGCGCATGTGTTACATTTGATTAGTTATAGGCTATTGTGGTGTGTCGACACATAAAAGTAGTATGTATCATCAACTGAAGGTAAAATGTCTGGAGTCAGAAGGTTAAGAAGATCAAAGAAAAGAGAACAAGAGCAGAGAATGATTTGTGTGGAAACGAAAGAATAATGATGTCTGAGACAGTTGATTCACATTTTGCAAATGAATTATTTACTGGATGGTTCTCAGATTTTACCAAGAGATTCTGTAATGTCGTATTAAAATAAATCCGATTGTCCCCAATTGTGTTCTCGTTCACTACACTATAAGTTGTACGTACAGTTGTTTTTAGATAGATCTTATGTATTTTAAAAACATTTTTAAAAAGTTTTAATGATATATTTTGTCTAGTTACTCTCATCAAATATAAATCATTATATTCATTAATAAGGTGGAGGAAATTTTGGTCATGTGGTCAAAGGTTTGTATCGTACTCCTTCAGGACAAGAAGTACCAGTCGCAGTGAAAACTCTGAAACCAAATCAAATTGTCAATTCTGGTGAAGTGAGTTGAACATTATGATCGATATGTGCAAATTGTTGAATGGAAGAATTAGTATTGTTGCATTTAAACAACTGAGAAATCAGTTGTTTCACTGCAATCTAAGAGTATAAAACCACATAATTAGTGGTTAAACGTATTACTTGATCGTTTGTTTGTCCGTTCTTTTTTCTATAATCATTTATCAGTTCAGTGATCTTGTCCTTATAACATTGGATTATTCGGAAAGTTAAAATAAAAGGACATGAGAGAGTTGGGCAATGATGTAAGAAGTTGTGAAAACTGTTAAATTTTGTAGTCTTGTATAAGTGATTAAATTTGACTAGATAACAATTAAAAACAAAGAGGCATTAAACAGTTGTCTCACCATAGTATGGGACTTATTAACAGACGGTATCCACTAAACCGCCAGGTATCAAATTCAAAACCATCCGATTTGGGATTAAGAATTATTTTTCAGACAACTAGTTGTTAGCCTGTGGGTAACATTTCTAACTTCAGTCGATTTGTAGTTTCTAGCGTCTATCATCCTCTAACACTATTGATGTCTGACCAGTAAAACAGCGCGAAAAAATCGGGCTAACCAGACCGGTCACGATGAGTCGGAGTGGGGGGATGAATTACCTAAAAATGAAAATAACATTTCACGGATAAATAAATTTATCCATTCATATTCACAGTACAACCTTTTTACTCCAAAGGATATACAAAAAATGAAATTGGAACAGATTAAAAGAAGGAAGAAAGAGGAAACAACATAAGTAAACTAAACGAACAAATCTCACTAACCACCTTATTAACATTTTCAACATAAAGTCTGGTAACCGTTAGAAAACAGAACAAAGCAAATGATAGAAACGCTTCATTACCATTTGTCTACACTTATTCTCTTATTAGTGCACATTTCTATTATATGTTCTATACACGCTTTTTGTTTTCCTACTTAACATTTCGTCTCTCTCTATAGTGTTTTCTTCAGGCTATCTCTTTCGTACACACACATTTATAGAATGTCTTAAAACTAAATTGTAGACAAGGAAATTTTTAGGTATATACGTAAGTATATACCTGAGTATATTGATCAAATAGATGTATTTTGATTATTTCCCCAATTTTTTTTCTAATATGACAATATTAATAATGATGATTAATATGATATCAGATGGAGGTGAATTGATTGACGATCGGTATATTCAATGATACTAAATTCATGCTGATAAGATTGATCATCATCATGGGATAATAATAATAATATTATTATCATAAATACCCTAATCCTACTAGTAAATTATGTTTATACTTAATTTCAAATCAAATTAGTAGAAAATAATAGAGAGATATAAAAATTAATTATGGAATAGGATTTTCCATTTGAATGTAATTATGTATATATACATATATGTATATAAGTAGATGTCAGTAGTAGAAAAGGAGATATATATGTGCATATAACACGCTTGATAGTAATAATAATAACAATAATAATAATAATAGTAAGAAGATGGCATATATTTGTAATAGAAAGACATTTTCCTGACTAAATTGATTAATTTCATTTCTGAACATAGAAACTCTATTCAATTACTATAAGAATGAATGTATTTAATTGTATTGTTTATTTTCTTTAATAATTACTAATAATGAATATGTTTATCAATGTTATATTTTAAATGTAAATCATTCAATGGAATACTTGATTGTTATCATTGTTATAATATTGTTCACATGGAACATCAGTCAGTCAGCTACAACGTAGGACCAGGCACATGTATGCATCGGTTCAAGTTGCCATACCGCTTTAGCACACACAGCAAGATGAACACTGATTCATAGAAGTAGTTAATTCAATGTTTGTAGTATATAAAAGAAAGATTGCATATAAGGATATAATACAAGAAGAAAGAATTCGTACGTAGAAAGAAAGATATGAAGTGATTTTAATCTCATAGTTTAAGGAAAGAAAGAGAGTGTATACACCGACTCCATTGTGATCGATTCTGAGCCATGTCACAAAGAGTCTTCAACCATTGGTTACGATAGTCACGCGGAAGTGATTATTTAACGATTGGAATAATTAAGATGAAAGCACTCGACTTCATAAATAAACTCTACACTAACCTAATTCACACTAAATTTAGTTTGAAGCAATTAGTCCCTTTTATAAATTTCGATAGAACAATAAGAAGACGGAGTTGATCTGAAAAATGTGATGTATTTGCGCTATACATTTCATATAAAAATGCCTTGACAAGTATATGTGTGACCAGATTGTTCGAAATGTATAGCGCAAATACATCACATTTTTCAGATCAACTCCGTCTTCTTATTGTTCTATCGAAATTAGTTTGATTTCAAACACCATTTTTTTATAAGGCTTTTAACCGAAAACAAAACTTCAAATCCATTTATATTAACTGTCTGAATCTTCTCAGTTATGTTTAAGGACTGTAATTGATCTGTCTCTCTGAAACATATATTCATTCTATATGGATCACTTCTATATTTTCATCAAGTCAAAAGCATATCAATTTGAATTAGATAGTGGCTAGCAGTGGAATCCAGGAGGCACGTTTTGTTCTGTTTCGGGACTTGGCAGCTGAATGTGTCTGAATTCTAGAGTTGATGTTCATCCCATAACTGGATCCCAGTATTTCCTGCATCAAATGTCATCAAGTTATTTATAAAGTTACTGAGTTCAGGTAGCCACTGGATTGTTCGATGATGTGAATTTTAGTTCATTCTTATTAAATAATATGATGGTATTTGAAGTGAACGATACTGGATTTGACACTTGGAGTGAATACCAACTTTGAGATACGAGTATATCCCGCTAAAAACTCCATGATTGGTCGTGCAACCTGAATTCGATTTTTAGCTACCAGTTAACTCAGCGTAAAATTTCAAATTATCTGAGTTTACGAATAAATTTTTAAATGAATTCACTAAACCGGGGTTGTTTATTCGTGAATATAGCTTCCCCACCCCGATAAATAATAATGTTGAACATTTAAGAATAGGACATTGAGGAAAGATGGCGGTGGTGGTTAGTATACATGCTATCTATGGCTAGCGGAGGTCAAACTAAAAGTAGTGATTAATCAATGAAGTCACATGACTACTGATGTGAGCCATGTCAGTAGATACAGTTTACTTGATCGAGGTCCTTTAGATAGTCTCAGTCAGAGGTTGAAGATAATGTACGACATGACCTTTAATCTGTCAAAATCGAGCATATGCATTCATTCCTTTACCTTCCGATTTCTGATTCCAGTACGCCTTCATATTTATTTTTACACTGTCTTTCTGAACTACATTCTCAATGCTCAGTCTTTTATAAGCTGTCATATTATTAATTTAATCTTATCCTCCTAATATAGCATACCAGGATTTACATTTATGTAGATTAGCTAACTTTGAAAGTTAATTTTTAAATTATCGTAATCTTCATTTATTTCCACGTAGTATGATTTTGTTTCTGTTTAATCAAAAGAATTTTCTTTATCCTGTTTTGTTCCTGTCTCTCTGCAAACTGTCTTCTTTATTAACTATGGAAAACAAAATAGCGTGAAATTCTCGCTGAAGCACGTACAATGGCTCAATTGAAACATCGACATATTGTAAGATTAATTGGTAAGTTATTTATATGAATTAATGTTTAACTAATAGTGTATATTCAATTACGCTACATCTGAGATAATGAAGTAAATTTATAGCTTAAATGGATGATATTAATAGTTTTATTCTCTTAGCTAGATAATTTGATTATGAGGCTTTCATTATTTTCCTGAATAATATCATTAGCATCAACTTTCGGTAGAAATGATGTTGCTCAGAGAAAAAATTCCTTTACCGAGAACTAAATCTACCACGCATTTACCATACAAGACTCTTTATTAGCTGTGTTTATACATGAACAGAAAAGGATTAGTTGAAGTTAGATATTAACATCGTTGGATGATGGTTGGCTCATTGGTTTAATGGTTAAGAGCTTACGCACAAGTCTGGTAGGGCGTGTGTTCGAATGTTGTGAGGTAGGATCGTGGACATGCACTGCTGAGGAGTCCGATAATAGGACGAAATGGTCATCCATTACTTGCAAGTATTCTATGATGGTGGTCTAGCTTCAATTGGCTCATGATCTTAACCATTTAAATTGTAATAGTTTGAAAATCTCTACTAATTAATTAGACATTGTACATGTTAATAGGTCTTCACATTCAGTAGATCACTTCTTGGGAATTAGAGAGTTAAGTATAGAGTTCTGTGTGAAAAAGCAACATGCAACTGACTGGATTGGTTGATGTTAGACACTAACTTCATTAGATGCCGGCTCAGTGGTCTAATGGTTAAGTGCTCAGGCGCGAAGCCAGTAGGTCCTGGGTTCGAATCCCACGGGATGCGGGATCGTGGATGCGCACTGCTGAGGAGTCCCATACTAGGACGAAACGGCCGTCCAGTGCTTCCAGGTTTCCAACGGTGGTCTAACATCAATTGACTCATGATCTCAACCAAAAATGAAAGAAGGATTAGACGGATATCATAGGTCATTGCTTTACAGTGTAGGGCCAGTGAAATGTCACTGAGCCCTAACCAAATCATCCGGCAGTTGAGTCACTGAATATCAAACAGATCATCGATCTCTGTCAAAATCAAGGACACCCAACGCGCATCAGTTAATCGTACGCCATGGACTAGCCCAATGCGGCGGCGGTTTTACTTTCGCTTGTATCTACTTTAACTAATATATTTCTGTAATAATGTTTTTTGTGTTGTACAGGCTTCAAAGCATCTATAGTGCCTTGACACGTCGATTTAGCAATCCACGTAAGGTGCTGACCGCGAGATGTGGCTTTGACGTAAGCTGGTTCGTCACACCATTCCCGTCTAACTCTAGCAGGCCCCTAATCATTCGACATAAATCATATGCGTTTGTGATCTATAACATATATATTTAAACCAGACACACTGAACGAAATCGTGTATGATAATGTTGTAACCACTTAATGCTTAATCAGTACTTTTTTTCCATTTATGTAGTAACATATCATTCCTTTTCTCTTTTTCTTTTTCCTTTTGAAAGTTATGTAATTTTATCTTTGAAATAGAATTTTCCTTACATTAATAATTCCCTTTCATTTTTATTATTTAATAATAAAGGTGTATGTAAAGAGGAACAATTTATGCTTGTTCTTGAATTGGCGCCTTTAGGTCCAATTAATAAATATTTGAAAAAACGCCCGTAAGTTAATAAAGATTGAATATTTTTATTCGTATTGGTGTGAGGTTCCCTTTCTGTTGTTTTTTTTAATGTCCGATAAGTGTACAAAATCTAGCATTTTCATGTTCATTTATTAAATGAATGCTGTATATTTGATTGAAGACTTCAGTCCAAGCATCTCAATCTATTTATATTGGTTTGTTAGTATGAATATACTAATCTAACGCATTCCGACGCAAATAAAATGAAATTTGAGGCATAAAATTAAATATAAGTATGTAATGCTAAAGTATACTGAACATTATGGTTATAAACCTTACGTATTTATTATGATTTGCATTTATTATGAAGGATACTTTCACAGTTAAATTCATGCGCCAACTGCCATTGGAAATCTGGGAGCACTGGACGACTGTTTCGTCTTAATACAGAACTCCTCAGCAGTGCGTATCCGAGATTCAACATGCGAGGTCCACACCCAAGACATTTGGTCTTGCTCGTGAACACTCGACCTCTAGACTGTTGAGACTGCATTCAACGATATTAATGTCTAAATCCAACCAATCCACGATGTTGAGCGACCATCTTCCGTTATCTTTGGTGGGTAACTCCCTTACACTCGACACAGTTGAACTCCACTGGTCACAGCTTCTCACTAGAACTCTGATAATTACCTTTCGATGCTAGTCACTAGTGAGCACATGATAACTACCAGCATAAGGTTGGATGGTGGTCTAACATTGATCGGTTAACGATTTCAATTAAAACTCAATTATCTCCATAAACCCCCTTACTGATATTGAGAATATGTTTGGTTTAATATAAATCATTATGTGTTCATGTACATAACTTTTAGTCTACAACTTCGATTTGATTACCAGTGATATTGTTTACTGCCTTGATATCTTCAACTTAATTGGTGAATTTCAAGAGTTTTATCTATTATCCCACTGTCTCCTACTTATAGGTATAATTCACATTATTGACAATGTTAAGTCTATGTATCATATGATATAACGGTATTTTTAAGGGGTAATAAATAATGATGTCATAAATGAATCATGTTTTTCATTTGTCTGAAAGAGAAAAATATAATTATTTTTATTATTCATACTATTAGTCAGTAGTACAGTGAAAAACTATATTAATAAATAACTAAATAAAATGAAATTATAATCAGTGAAGAATTTTAGTGAATACTATGGTAATTTAATAGTTGAATTCATGATTCAATTGAAGATAGACCCTGGAAGCATTGGACAATGGTGGACGGTGGCACAACTTTGTGGATTGATTGAAACTAGACATTAGCACCGTTGGATGACGGCTCAGTGATCAAGAGCTTAAGCGTCCGCACGTGAGACCGAAGGTATTGAGTTCAGATCTCGCGTGGCAGGGTCGTGGATGCGCACTGCTGAGTAGTCCCATACTAGAACGAAACGGCCGTTCAATGCTTCTAGGTTTTCCATGGTGGTATAGCTTAAATTGACTCATGAGTTCAACTATTAAATTAGAATTAAATTAGTCAGTTAGGCATACACTAATATTATGAAATATTTCTTGATTAGTTCTTAATTTAATTAATTCACTAAATTGATTACTTTGATAGGAAGCATTTTGATTACATAAGCTTTTATAACCAAATGAAAAGAAATGAGAAGATTATGACTGATTGCCAATTTCGCACACTGCTACTTTTAGATTAACTCTTATTAAATCATAACTCATCTAACTCAATAATCATTTACAATCTCATATGCTTATCTTCAAAAATCACAGTTAAGGTGTAGAGGGGCAGCCAAATAATGCCACTCTATTGTTTAAACTCAAGTAAGGAGGTCAATAATTTAAGTTGCACTTCTTATGGGGGTAGAAAAATTGAATACCTTAATTAGTCAATGAACCCACTGACAACTGGAATGAGACACATTAATAGATGTAGACTATCTGTCCAGAGGTTAGAGGCTTTAAACAAAATGACTCAAAATCCTTTGCAATGACGAATGTGCATCCAATTTTGTCATCCTCCAAATTCTAAGCTTCCTAAATCTTGACAATTTTCTTTGTTTTGACTTCACTAAACTATATTTTATTGAACCGTATCTTTGATACCTAATCTTTTCTATCACCAGTGATATTTTCACTATCTCTATACTCTGGGATTTCGTCAGACAATTTCACCTCTCTGTGTTAGTAGGTTATAGTTATGTGGACTGATGTTCACACGTACTAAGTTCTACGTCGTGATTGACTGACTGAATCCTTAAACTGTCAGTACTGAGGTGTTAAATTTCATTGAGATCTTGAGTTAATCCAAATAAGGTTACCTCTGAAAATCTGGAGGTACAGGATGAGGCTAGATCTTAACGCTGTAGGATGCCGGCTCAGTGGTTTAGAGGTTAAGTGTTCACGTGCGGAACCGAAGATCCTGGGTTGGAAACCCGCGCACATGTTGATGGATGCGCACTGTCAAGAAGTCTCACACTAGAACGAGAAAGCCGTTCATTGCTTCCAGGTTTCCAATGTTGGTCTAACTTAGATCGGTTCATAATTTCAGTGCATCCTTTAATCACTAAACTACTATATTGTTTTACCAGAAAACTCCTAAATCCTTTTTCATTATATCATTTTTCTATAAAGTTGTTTGTTTTTACCTCATACTTTTAGTGATGTCAGTGTGCATACACTAACTGAACTGATGCATCAAGTTGCATTGGGTATGGCTTATTTGGAATCATGTAAATTTGTACACCGAGATTTAGCTGCTCGTAATGTCCTACTGGTTACACGTCATTTTGCAAAGATTAGTGATTTTGGAATGAGTAAAGCATTGAATTTCGGTAGTGATTATTATCGGGTAAGTTTTAATCGAAATTTTCCAACATAACAAATTCAAATAATATGGTTTTCAGCACAAGGAGTTTGTGGAGACTGGGAAATTTTGTAGTTTGAATCACAATGTAACCATATTTAAACAACTACTAGAAACTACTAATACTTGAACAGATATTTCTTCGTAGTATGGGACTGATCAGAAGTATACAACTATGTGTTTAACTAGAGATTGAACTTATAAACTCCAAGCCTCATGGCCAACTCTTAACCTTTAGACAGTTGAGTTGACATCCTGTGGTTTATATTCGTGCATTCAGTCATTTCGCAATTTCGGGCGACCATCACAATTTGTCTTTGTGAACTATATGTTTTAACTTTTCTTGTCATGGCTTCTCATTAAACTCGTAGAATAAACAAAGGCAAATGAGTACTGGTATAGAGTCTCATATCAAAATGAAACAACTGGTTTTTAATGGTTATTTATTTAATGTCTTTGTACTAGTGGTTAAGGTAATGCCGAACGTTTTTACCGGATACGGTTTGTAACAATCACTTTATTTTGATTAGCCTACTTTGAAATGACAAGTTCATAAACGAGTTGAAAATTCATATAATGCATTCATTAAAATAGAAGATTCATTACTTATTATTAATCATTTTAAAGGATATGATATTCTGTGGCATGTGCTACTGGTGTTGACAGATATAAGTAGTATGTATCATCAATCGAAAGTGGAATGCGTGGAGGCAGAAGGTTAAGAGGATCGAAGAAAAGAGAACAAGAACAAAAAATGACTGGCGTGGGATCGAATGAACAATGAAATCTGAGACTACTGATTGACATTTGCAGAAGGAAAAGTCAAGTTTGAGACAGTTGATGGATATTTTTCAAATGAAGTATTTACTGTATGGTTCTCAGATTTAATTAAGAGCTTCTGTAATTCTGTGTTGAAATACTTTCGGTTGTCCCCACTTGTGTTCTCGTTCGCTACAGTACCACTACTCTCTTATTTCAAATAATCCATGAAAAGAGACCTTTTACATTTAAATTATAGGAATATCAGGATATATCAAATTAAATGATGGTCAAATATAGGTATTTTATACTATTTCATACTGATTTTTACCTAGGCACTACAAAATGATAATGCTCCAGAATCTGTTTGTGGAATAAACTGACTAATTTTTTTTCAAGTATTTCCAAAGCGTTAGACGGATTGTAACGGAAGTAACTTAAGCACTCAGTTGTTCATCTATTTCCAGTAACAGTATGAACTTGTTTCAGTTGATTATCCAGTATTTTCCATTATAGTGAAATCTAGTCAATGGACGACATCATGTTTACACAGACTTCTGTCAATTATCTTTTTATCTAATAAGGTCGAACCCCCACTTCTTGGGTTACTGGTGGTCCTAATTTCGGATAATTTAGGTGAGTAGAGGATGGGGTTATCGACCTCTTGTTGAAAAAACACTAACCAGAAAAAGTCAACTTAACCATTTAAACTTTACTTCCAATGTTGAAAGATCTTCATTTAGAATAGTTATGATGCTTCGTAGTGAAAGCCGAGATTCATCGGAGATCACCAGGCTGATGTCCCTTTTGATAACTAGAACTACAATTAATATAGGTACTTGGAATGTCGGGAAAATTAGCTTAGTAGGTAAGTAACGAAATTAAATATCATAGAGAAATATAAAATAGTTGAAGTTCCAAATCGCAGTTTTCATTAGGAAGAGAGATTCTTTTTGACTAGTCTTTTCTATTTCAAAACCTATTTTGTATTCTTTTCTAAATAGGCTGCAACGGCTGGGAAATGGCCTCTAAAATGGTATGCACCTGAATGTATATATTACTTTCGATTTGACTCAAAGTCTGATGTATGGAGTTATGGTATAACTTTATGGGAAGTTTACTCCTATGGTGAAAGACCATATAGAGTGAGTTGAAGTTTGTGCGTTCATCAACATATATATGTATATATTCTTCTAGTGCCATTTTTGCTACAGGCATTTGACATCTGCCAGTAAATTAATTTGATCAGTTGGAACGAAACTATGTTTCATCACTGGAACAAAATTGAAGCGACTGTAAATTTCGAGTCAGTATTCTTTAGGTAACTGACTCACTGTGAATAACTAATTTCCTGGCTCCGATACTTGGTTAGAATCTATGTATCCATTGTGGAGAAGGCTCATACTTAAATAAAATAATAACCCAGCGCTCTTCGCAATTCTCTAGTTCCGTAGTCCATGACAGTTTGTGATGTAAATTTACATGTCATCACTAACCACCTCAAATTTTTGAACTAAACATTAATTGTTTGCTAACTAGTGACCATTTTCCAAATGAACTCTCTAGATTTCAATAAGAATTGATTGTTGGATGTAGATTGTACAGAGAGTGAGTCGTTTACTCACTAATAACATTGAGTAATATTGCACAATATTTGAAGTCAATTGAAGTTGGATAAAAAGGATCATGTTTCAGTGTCTTAAACGTGTTGACTTCAAAATCCCAGTATAATCGTAAGTAGGTAGTGAAACAAAACAATTGTTCAGTACTTCTGGATTGAGAAAAAGGTTTGTTAAAATCAGCTGTTGTTGTGAATAACAGTAAGCTAATTACTCATATTTTTATTACAAAATAAAACAGAAGTATAGTCTTTCCTAAAAAAAACTTAACATCACTTTATGTACGTATGTTTATATATTTTTTTATTAGGATATGAAAGGTGCACAAATATTGGCAATGTTAGATCAAGGTCTACGTTTATCACGACCAAGTCGATGTCCAGAATCAATCTATAGTGTTATGCAACAATGTTGGAATTTTGAAGGTGTACATAGACCGACATTTGCAGAACTTGTCTTAACAATATCACGTATTTTAAGAGCAATGCCATCACCACAAACAAATATTTGCATTCCCAATCATCATCATAGTAATAATAGTGGTAGTAATAATATTAATGCCAGTAATAATAATAATGTGTTATCAAGTAATTTATCAACAAAGTTTGATCATTTACATTCACCTACTCATCAACATAATAACAGTAATAGAAGTGATAACACTAACAACACCACCACCATCATACACAACAATAATACTGGTCTACATCCAATTGAATTTAGTCCATTAAGACGTCTTGGTGGAATCGGTACAAGTGCAAGTTCCGGTGGAAGTGGTGTAAACAGTGGTGGAAGTGATGGTACATCATTTTAAATTCAATATTCAATCAAATGATGGTTATATAAAATAAGAATATAATCAAACATTTGTAAACAATTAATATTGATAACTAAACAACCCATGTAATGATGCTTTACATAAGTCACCAGGAGAAGAAAAAAAAGATAACTTTTTTTTAAACATTATTGATAAAATCGATAACAGTTATTGTTTTTGCATATTTGCAAACATTGTACATTTTCAGTTTATATATTTTGGTAAGTTTTCCTCTACTCTTTCCTCCCTTTTCTTCCTTCCTTCCTTCCTTCTTTCTGAGTTTGTTCTTTCGATATTCTTCAAATGATAATCATCAAAACAATACGAGATATATATGAAATTGTAAATGATTTCTAATATTTTTTAATTACTGTCTTAAAAAAACATTGAAGAATAAGTAGAGATATGATAACTTTATCTATAATTACCAATGAAGCCTTTAAATGATTTTGTTTTAATAGACTACATTGTTATTAGTGTTTTGAATCTATTTGAATCCTTTTAATTGAATACCAATATGCTGATGATGATGACGACGACGACAACGATGATGATTGTCAATATCATGATAAACATTTAAACAATTTAGATTATTAATTTCTTAAACACTAAACTATTATAATAATCTACATATGAATGTGTGATGTTCAATGAAACAATTCTATTCAACTGATGCTTTCTTGTTGTTGTTGTTGTTGTTGTTGTTGTGAAAGTCTACAATTGTATATAATCGCAAAGTACACTTTATTTTTAACTGATAACCATTGAAGAAGGAAAACAAACTGTTGAATATCAAAGAACACTAGTTATTGATTTGTATTTTTTTAATAATGTAAATTTGTGATAAACATATATATATTCATTACTTCTTTTCTGAATTATTGTTCAATTGATATCAGTTTGTGTACATGAAGATAATTCTTTGAAGTAGGAATAATATTAATAGTAACCAAAATATATTGAATAAATCAATGTGAATTAATGTGAATAACATTAACTATTCATCATCATCATCATCATCATCAATTATGTGTTATGGCAATAATATCTACTTTTTTTCTTGTTGATATGTAAAAAGTGAAATTAACTGCAACATTTTATCGTAATGTTTTCTTCTATTGCTTGTTAACCCCCCCCTCAGTACACACCACCACTTTTTTCAAATGAATTTATAAACGTTTATTTTTTTTTGTTTTATGTCAACTATTTATCATAATATTCATGTGTACACCCCTATTTCTTATTTACCTGTTTATAGACTATGTACATTGAAGTTTATCTTGAGTTGTTTTCGTTTTTTTTTGTTTTTAGTTGCCTATATTCTTCTCACTTGTGTGCCTCACTGTTTTATGCTTATTTGTTAACTATTAGGTTAGAAATTATGTTCATAATAAAGGATACCTATACATTATAATATATACAGATATATGCAAAGATACATACGTTTAGATATATAGATATAAATTCCTATTATGACAATGACAAATGTTAACCCTTGTCCATTTTTATATATTTGCAATACAAATCAATGCATTATTAGTAATATGATTCCTCTTTTCATATTACTATTACTACTGATTACTAACTACCAAATGTTATCTGTAATATGTAATTTCATTATTTGTCTGTTTATATCATTATTATTATTATTATTACGATTGTGATGATTGACCAATGTTTACATTTTATCTCCTTTTTTTTCTTTCTTTTTTTTGTGAAAATCAAACGACAAAGTAAACAGTGATGTTTTCACATAATTAAAAAAAAGAGGACCATGTAACCGAGTAAATTTATCAAGAAAACTGATAAACAAATACATTTTCGTTTTGTATAAACAAACGATAAACATTCTTATTATTACTATTATTATTATTATTACAAGATTTCAAGAAGAATAAGTGAGGGAGAGGGAGAGAGAAAAATAAATAAATATTAGACAATAAGTATCATTTTCATCTTGTGTTTCTCTTACTGTTATTCTTTTATTGATTATTGGGTTAATATGCTCGGATTCAAATAATCACCTCTTAACAGAAAAGTAGTCTAGCGATGATTAGTTTGTGGCAATAATTGATTATTTTTTTTATTATTCAACAAGTGACTAACGAACTTTACGATGTATATTTATGACGTTCTAGTTAGAGGTGATATTACTAGTGAAGTCCTTCTAGCATAACTATAACTGATACTCTATAATATGAACTGAATAAATTCGGAAATGTAGATCATCATTTTTTTGATAATGTGTTTTACAAAAGATCTGGGATTTCTGGATTTTAGGCATGTGTATCTGAGAAATTTCAATATTTTCTTATTTTCAACTGTTTACTAGTTGAACTCAGTTCATGTAAACGAAAAGCCATTTATATACTAAACTAATTTCTACAATTAAACAGACAAACTATCATGATCTTGGGTTCAAGTCCCGGATTGGACATCAATCGTACGACGTAGGTACATCCAGCTGACGAGTCTCAAGTTGGACGAAACGCATATCCTGGATTTCACTGTTAGCCACTATCTATGTTTACTTAAAAACATTGTGGCTCAAGGTTATATCGATGCAATCCAAACAGGATGCACATAATCCAACATGAGACGATCAATTGCAGTCTTAAATAACAATGGGAAGATACAAGTAAAACAACAGCAAGTGAATTTAGTATAATCGTGTTTGATATATCCAACTCCGGTAGTCAAGATCATTTTCTCAAATATTGTAGATGCAATTTAATAATGGATGTCAAAAGGAATGAAATCTTATCCTAAAACTTTTTGTCAATTATTTTCAAATGTCTATCAATGAAATTAACAGAAAAAAATATTCCACTTAACGAAATCAGCTTGGTTATTACTAAGAATTGATAGATGATCTTGCATTTCAACAATATATATATATATATATATCCAACTGTAGAAGCACTGGTCTCGAGTTTAAGCGTTCGCAAAAAACCGAAAATACTGGGTTCGAGTCTCGCATGCGGGATTGTGGATGCACACTGTTCCATACTAGGACAAAACGGCCGTCCGTTACTTCCAGGTTTTCACTGGTGGTCTACCTTTAATTGACTCAAGAATTCAACTATTAAAATTACTACAATCTCCACAAACCCCATTCTGATTTGAATTTACACGATTACTGATAGCATATAGGAATCAGCGAGATTTGATTGGTCAATATAAAGAGACATTGTTGAACGTCACATTCATTAACATGATCAGTAAAGTATTTTAAATGACTTCAGTTATATTTCAGTTTTTGTTTATTTATATTTTTACTTCTTCAATAAATGAGAAAGAAAACATTTTGTTCCAAGTAAACTGGAACATGATATAGGGAGTGTTTATACAAACGTTTGAAACTTTAAACCTAAAAGTATAATAGAGTTTTGGTTTATTTTTGTTTATTTCATCAGTAGTAACAGGAACGCCCAAGTTTTTCGACATTTTGATTATTATTCTAATGAATGATTCTTGCTATTACTACTGAGAGTACATATTTGATATAAATATGTAAGAAAGGAAGTTATCCAAGATAGCGTAAAGTCTCAGTGTAGTAACGTATCAATGTATAAGTGAATGTTCTGTTTGATATAATATTTATATTAGATCAACGGGAATCAATGATATCTACCATTGTAGGCTGCATTCGTCACAAACTGCTTTCACTTGGGATATCTTTGGAAACTAAGATTCACTGGATAGCTGTTTTGTCCTGACATGAGATGCCTCAAAAGCACGATCCTATCAAGATTCAAGTCTAGAACTTTTAAGCTTCTAAGATCAATCTGTGACAGATACAACTTAAAAAGTGAACCAAACTCTACAAAATGCACCTAACTAAAGCAATTACTCAGTGAAAAATGATTCATTACGCGGAGTGTAAAATTATGAAAATCAAGACTTACTGAACAAATATCCTGTTTCATTTAGGCATATATCAGCAGTGCATGCGTTTACACCCAGTACAAGACCAAGTTGAAGTTGGTGCCTTCACTTCATTACGTTGAAATCCATTGATCCGAACGTCCATCTCAGTAAATTTGTTCGATTTCCAATGTCATTGAACGATGATATCAGGAGTGAAATAAGCATAAAATGATGACATTGAGTGGTGTTTAGGCAGTATGTTAAGTTGACTAAAATTTATTCGTCCTAATTATTAACTATTTAAATAATCAGATGTATTCAGTTTACTAAATCTATAAAAGCGAAACTTCCTCTAGATGAGACAGAGGTTCTAGAGATTAAAAGCTCCATAAATTTACATAAAACCTCACCATAACGCTAAATGGCAAAATGGATGGCGAAATCAGTAGATTTATCACTCCTATACTTGCTTGGCCTGGATAGGATATAGATGATGGGCTCCTTCGTTTGTGTATATCAGTGTAATTGCTCTATTGGAGCTATTTACATTGATCTTACTCAGAAGGCTTTTCCATTGTTGGCTCATGAACATGTACCAGCATGGTTGAGAAAAGATGCAATAAAATCTGCTAACAGCTTCATCCTTTATCACTTGATGGTAGATAGTAAAAGTCATGTTTATATGGATGAAGCCTTTTCTGTTTTATGTCTCATTTCAAACAATCTACCTAAAGGATCAAGATACAACTTATCTACTTAGCTGAAGCTTTCATGAACAATGCCAGAAGACCGAAATTATGTATTCAAAAGCGATATTTTAAGCCTTTGTATTTAACTTGGTCTACGATTAGATTACCACATTCCTATATTAGACATGGCAAACTTGTTATTTCCGTTGCAAAGTTCATCTTTTTTTTAACAAGCAATATTGTCAAACTCACTTGCATACTTTATTTGAGGCTTGGAAACACTAATTATGAACTTATAATTGTAGAGCCTGATGATGAAATTATTGAAAACGGTTATTCATTCCTACACAAGGTGAAAAAATTGAAGATATACAAGTCTTACTGAATAGTCTTGAACTAGGATATAGCTTTAAATGATACTTCAGTCAATATCAATCTTAGGATTGGTTCAAACTAACTATTGTGACCCTTTAAAGTTACTATCGACAACTTTCCTACCACAACTATTGCTATATTTTTTGTAATGTTTCAATGCCAAGTCATTCATGCATGTTTCTACTGGTTACCTTGTTTTCTTTTTTTTTTAAAATAGAGTGTTATCTGAAGTGTTTACTTGTCATCTCTAGAGAGTTCCATATTCAATCTCTTTTCTTCCTCGTTTATAGTTGTTATCATTGAAATTTTACACTACATAAATCATTTACTTTATCTAATCATTAGAACCAGTTTATAATAGAAGCATCATTCAATTTATCCTAAATGTAGGAGTCAGTGTAATCATATCCAAATCAAAATAGTGAACTAGTAATGAGAATTACTATATAGAATATGCTAAATTTATATTCATCATCTGTTTAAGTGGTTCTTTGATTTTCAATAGCTTTAAAATTACATTGAGTGTTAATTATACTATGTATTCTCAAATGAAAACAACAAACTGATTTGTACATAAATAAATGATGAAGGCCTTCTAACTCCTATGGTAAAGTTTAAATGGTTTGAATTATGTTTTCTAGTTAGCATTTCTTTTTAGCGAGTTAGTTTTCTACAAGATGAGGTTGCTAACCTTATGCCCAACCCTCCTCCTTTATCTGGGCTTTGAACCCGTGGTAGCCCCAGAGGAGCTTTAGGTGGAGTTAATTAATTTGTACACACCCATCTATTATTATTTACACTTTCAAAAAACATAAATAAACAGTCACAATTGATTGATCACTGGGTGGCGATCAATGTCATGCGTGTCTAGTGCTTATTAGTGCAGATCGAATGCTACCTCCGACCACCATCTAATCTCAATATATAGTGCCCACAGTGTCGAGTCACCTAGACTGGTGGCAACATTGTAACATGATCGATAGCATTCGATCTGAACTAATAAAAACTAGACACGCATGAAATTGATCGCCGCTCAGTGATCAATCAATTGTGATTACATCTCAGTCCTACAGGAGGTTAGTCACGGCTCGGATAGCTCAGTGGTAACGTCTCTGACTATGAAGCTGGGTGATACGAGATGGAATCCGCCAGGGAGCACCAGTTCCCTCAAGATTACAGGTACACCTTGCTGACGAGTGCCAAGTAACACGAAACCCAGGTCCAGGGTTTCCTGTCGACTACCTCCGACCACCATCTAATAAATAAACAGTAAACAAAAGAGATGACACTTGAATAACCAACGTATGAAATCAATAATCTTCATTATGGATAAAAAGTATATTGAAAATATTGAAAAAAGGGAACTAATTCAAACACAATGAAATGTAAATGACTTATTGAAGTTAGATTTAAGTTTGTATATTCAAGCATAAATATGATAAAGAGATAACAATTGAAGTATGTTTGTGTGTTGTTTGTTTCTCTTTTATTAACAATGACCAGTAAAAGTTGAAAATAAAATAATAACTCATACTATTATACTAATACAATTAGTAATTGTGAAAGTATGGGAAAAAACTTTATTTTGTACTCAAAGGAATACCCTGCTAGAAGTTATCATTGCTACCACTACTACTGATACTGCTCCTCCTTCTCCTCCTCCTCCTCCTCCTCCTCCTCCTACTACTACTACTACTACTAATAATAATAATAATAATAATAATAATAATAATAACAATAATGATACAAGTAGAATAAGGATAGTAGTAGAATTTAGTATTTTAAAAAGTTCCTATTTATTTTTCAATCTTTATTTATTATTCATGAAAAGTTTATTTGGAGAATGAAAACAAAACTGAAAAAGACAATTAGAAAAAACTTATTGGAGGTGTTCTTGTATTGATGAGAATAAAGAAATGGATTAATTTAGGATTGGATTATTACTTTAGGTAATGGTTAAATGGATTGTAGATGCTTATTGCTGAGGAGTCCTATACTAGGACGAAACAACCTG